TTTTTTTTTTACCCTTAGTGTAAATCGATTATAAGGCAAGCATGTCATCAAATGGTGGATAAGGTTTACGTCCAGGATAGGATTTCTTCGGAAACTAATCAGACCAGCTTCGAGCACAGCTGGTTTAAGCGATTCAGGGAACTTGGCCTTATTCTCAAACGACTCTTTGGATGCTCCTTCACGGATTCTATTTATGACTGCTTCAAGCTCGCTATCAAGTGGTAGCTATACCATGTATGTAAGCCTCTCTTTTCTTTTTGTGTATATGATCTTACCAGAGGGGGAACCTCTGTACCCTTTTTCTTCTTGTCCTCGTCTTGAACAACAATCGGACGTTTGCTATCACCAGTCTCTGTTTTCTTTTTCTTTGATGGTTCAGAAGGTAGATTCAGCTGTCTTTTGTTAGATTCCGAGGGTATTGCATTACCGGTACTTGGCATAGGCGCTGATGGTAGAGTGGTTGCTGCGGGGGCAGAGGCTGGGGATGATAAAGAGGGTACTGGCGTTGGTGGCGCTGGTGGTTTTGATATCTTTTTGACATTAGTATTATTATTACTGCTGGTGCTAGGTACAGGCGCTTTAGCGGTTGTTTCTTGGTTGACTGTAGAAGTGCTTGTTGTGGCAGGAGTCGGTACCACTGCTTTTTTACTTTTAGTCTTTTGTGAGGGTGTATTTGTTGTATCTTCCTTTTTACGTGGCTTGCTTGTTTTGGTTGCTGTTGTTGTTGTATTCTTTGTTTTAGCTGCTGACCGACGCTTATTGCTATGACTGCTCTGGCTATTACTTGCTGCTCCTGCCTTTTTATCTTCAGAACTACAGATTCAAATAGTTTAGCATGTATTGACAATTGAAGTAATGTATGCTCACTTTTCATTAGAGTCCAAAGGACCTGAATACACAAAAAATCCATCTATTTCTGGGATATCGTAGTTATAATCGTCATCCAACAACATTTCACTATCGTCAATAAAAGGATCTTCATAATCATATTCATTTCCTCTTTGATTATCCTATTTGCACAAAGTAGGGATTAGCATGTCTAATATATTTACTGCTCGTTCTATTTCTTTTACTCCTGTGCTTCCGTCGTCCGATCCTTCGTCATCGTCATCTTCATTTGTGGCTTTATCTTTATCTTTTCCTTCTTCTTTTTCTTCTTCTGCATCTGCCTCATCCTCTAAATTGTATTTTTCTGCCTTTTTCAATAATTCCTTAAAAAAATCGTCTTCATTGGTAAGTTCTGGTATTGGCAATCCGTTACTGGTTGTTTGACTCTTTTGTCCTCTCTTCTTGAGTTGGTGATAGGAGAATATCACGGGGAATTGTTGGGTTTTGACATCAACGTGAATACGGGTTGATCCTGACTTCAACATGTGGAGATGGGTTAAAAAGGGAAAAAAGGAAAAAAAAAAAAAATAATTTTAATGCTACCACACAGCTGTTTTAAAAAAAAAAAAAAAGGAGAAAACGTCATGATTATATATTATTTTATTGATTTAAAAAGTAAATGGCGATAGCTGTGACAAGACCGCCCGCGATCGCGCTTTGCACAGATTGCCAAAGGTATGAATGATCCTTGTCATCAACCTGATTTTCAATAGGTAAAAGGATAGCTCTGATTAAATTGTCGTCATCTAGAAGGGGTGTCTGATGAGGGGTGACTTTATTAGTTTCAGGCGATTCGATCGGATTGTTTGTACTATTGTTGGTCTGTTTAAGAGCATCTAGGGTCGCTTGATCAAATAAGGGGTGCTCAGTTAACCCGTTGACTGCCTCCATGAGGGCAATCTGTTGCTGTACAAGCAATCGATCCTTTTCGTCTAGAGATTCAAACACATGTTTGAACTTTTCTTCCTCCTCATTCACTTTGGCCACCAATAATTCCTCGAAACGATCTGTTAATCTCTTTCGTTTCCTTGGCTCAAACACTGTTTGAACAGCAACAAAGAGAAGCAAGTTGACGCCCATAAGTGCCCAAGTACCGTACGTACTTGCGCTTCTGATCTTGTCACTCCAAAGCTGTTCTTCGTGATACCTCTCCATGATGGATCGTGCTAGCTCCATATATTCCCTATCCATTTGCTTTTCACATGTCTGATATCTTTCTTTGGCTGTCATCTCTGCTTGGGTATGTGCATGCTCGAGTCTATAGAGTTCTGTAAACTTGGTCACGTCGTCTGCTGTCCAAAGATGTTTCCGTTGTAGTAGCTCATTGATACTTCGCTGTGTGCTCGAGCGTGTTTCGATTGCTTGTTCGTATTCTCTTTTGGCTACTTGTACCTCATCACGAGTTGATTCAAATAATGCAGCTGATTATATAATGTTAATGAAGAGAGTGAGAAAGAAATAAAGAATTTACCTTGTCGAGTCACCTTTTCCTTTACTGTTTCAATATGATTATATCCTGTCAGCTCATTTAATACGCGACTTGCTTTTTGTAAAGCTTGTTTGGAATTATTCACCTCACTTGTCAGCTGCTTAAACTTGTCTGAGGCTTTATGAAGTTTGTTGATATACTGGTCTAATTGACTCTTGAGATCTGTTTGTATCTTTTCAAGTGAATTCTTGGAACCAGTAAAGCTAGATGACTGACGACATAAACAGCGCTGTGTGACAAGTATTCGCTTAGAAGCAATGGCTCGAAAAGACATTCCCTTTTTTTTTAGGTTTGCAAGGGGATGTAATTTTTCTACAGTGTTTCCACTTTGAATTCAGATGATGTTAGTTTTTTTTTTTTTTGGACAAATCAAATTTATTTTTCAGATTTTTAGGCTACCTTTTTTGGATAAAACGAAAAATAAACACAGGCAGTAGAATATAAGTTTTCAGACAAGTATACAAGACTACTTTGCTTTTGTTCTCACGATAGACATATTATTGAAGATGGTACCATGAAAGGATTCATATTATGAAAGCTCTCTCATACTATCTAAATTCGTAGCAGTATTCCAACAAAATAGACGCTACATACACGTACCTGAAACAATCTGGTAGTGACCAAGTATATATACAAAAATGAGCCCTCTCTCTTTATCAGTACCTTCTAGAATGCATCTATTTGTACTTCACCAATTATCAAGTGATTTAAGTATACAATCAACTTTTGCTTTAAAGTGTCCTTTTAAGAATGCCAATATTTGAATAAAGCGAAAGTCTACGAGCCTTACTTCTTGACCACAAACTCAAGACTATTTCTTGAAAGGCAGGAGACGACTACCGTAAAGTTATTATATTGTCTCTTAAAAACAGGGACAGTTTTCTTTTTGTCATAGACCTCACATTATCGTCTTTTAATTCATGGCAGTGGCGTGCGATACTGATTGAATTCAAGAGTTTTTCAGAAAGCCGCAACTTGACTTTGAGCCACCTATTCTCTCTCACGATGCTTTCAGAATGATCAATTACTCATCTGTCTAAAAAACATGTCCTTCTATCTGAAAAGAAAATTGAATTCATCTAAAAAAGGTAACCTAAAGGTCATCTGAATTCAATTCAGACATTTCGACTAATTAACATTAATATGGAAAAGCATTATATAAAGGTAAATCAGATAGCCATGAGTGAAATTCAGGTTGAAGAAATGGTCGAAGAAATGGATCTCGATGAAAATTCTGCATTTACTTACGGCAAATTGCTGTTATTGGCTAATGATACAATCGTGTCTCCAGAAATGGAAGATGATGTTGTTCCTGAGAATGTACCACTTGTGCCTAAGAATAATAACAGTAAGAAGGCTCTCTCTTACAAAGCTTATGGCCTTGAGAATATCAAGCAATTCATTCGCCTTATACAGGAAGAGAGTGGTTCTGCTGCGAAGCACGCGAAAGCTTGCTTCATTCCCCGTTCTACTTCATATGAAATAATGAAGCAATGGAGCGAGGGCGATGGAGCCGTTATTCCTGTCGGTTGCATGAAACGACTCTCAAAGAATAACGGGACTTCCAAGACAAATAATACCAAACTAACACAAAAGCATACGCAGTTCCTCACAAGTTTGGTTGATCAAAATCTGTGCATTACAGTGGACATGGCAAGAGAGCAGCTTTGTAACATGTTTCAAGGCCTCAGCATATCTGAAAGCAGTTTAAGGAAACACATGAAAGAGAAAATTAGGTTATCCTTGAAAAATTCAAGTATTTATACTATGGACAGAGATGTTACAAGAGCCATTGAGCTTCGTTACAAGATAATAACAGAACGGAAAGCGACTGGAGCTGGTTTTCAAAAGAATTATGTGTTCATTGATGAAGCCGAATGTAATTCTTACCAAATTAGGAGTAGTGCTTGGTCTGTTAAGGGTACTCCAGCACAAGTAAAAGTTCCAACACAAAAGGATATCAACCTTAGTATCGTCGGATGCATTTTTCCATTTGGGACCATTAACTTTTCCAAAGTCGAACCTTTGAAGCCTAGCGACGTTGCTAAAATTGAGAAAGGGTTTCCTCTACCTGAAAACAAGAAAAAAAAAGCGCAGACTGATGAGTTTTCTAAAACAAAGGTCAAAAAAGGCACAGCAGCGTACCATATCGTAGGTTTTGTTCGAAACGTCATAGAAATTTTGGATAGACGTGATAAAAAAGGATTTTTTTTATCGTCATGGATAACTCCAGGATTCACCATTCTCATTATGAAATAGAAGCCACTGTTTATGCTACCTTACTCGCCATTTCTTAATCCAATTGAAGAATGTTGGTACAAAATTAAAGCTCATGTCAGAAGGAATCCACTCTCCTTATTGGATACTTTAACTCCCAGAATTCAAGCAGCTTGTAGAAGTGTTACCACAGAAAATTGTCTTGGATGGATCAAGTATGCAAAAATTTTCTGGGATAGATGTCTCGGCAAAGAATTAGGTCTTGCTTGATTGAATATCTTTATCTTTTTCTTATTATTTGTTCGAACAATTTATAGCGTCTATCTGAATTGTTTTTTCAAGTATCTGCATACAGTTTTTTAAGCTAAAGTGAGACGATTCAAGTGAATATATAAAAAAAATAGACGGTTCTATTTTTTGTAGACCCATGCCAAAAACTTGTAGACGAAACGAATTATTGTTCAAAAACTTACCTGTATCATGGGTTAATGTAGCGGTAACTGCAAAGGATTGGTTGGTCTACTACTAACTGATGAGGCCGCCTTTCTTTTGAAGCCAGTAGAATGAGGTGCGTTGAGTCTACAAAAGCGTTCTGGTCTTTTTCCATTTTCACGCAGCCCAAAAAGGATGTGCCTGAAATTTAAAGTGGCCACCATATCACGGCCGTGGCCTCCAAACATTGTTGGTTTTTGCACCTAAATAATAAACATAAGAGTTGGATTTATAAACACAGAAACAAATCACCTTAAAAGGCCATGACATGTTACAGCTGGCTGCTTTTCACTCTGGAAAAGTCTTAGATTTTGAACTTTTTTGAACTTTTCAAGTTCACCTCTCAGACATGAAGGGCATAAGCTAGATGCTTTACACTCATCAAGAAGGCACATCTTGGATCCTTGTTGAGCTAGCATCCTTCTCATTCCAACGCCTCTAATGGGCTCGTGAAACTTGACATTTCCGGCAGACCAGTTGCCAGTTATCGGGGTAGCATCATCACCGAACTTTATTATCAGATTCCTGGCCAGTCGTTTATCTGCTTGCTGTCCATTTATAAAGCTGGAAAGCTTCATTTTTCGAAACGGCAACAGGTTTGTTTCTACAGCAGGAATATCTTCATTTGCGTAATACTTACTCAAGGCTGGTGCTACTGTTGCTCTTTCCTGAAGGTACTTGGCAAACTTGTCTCCATTAACTGTTGAAGATTTGCACTTTGACAATGATACTTCGGCAACTCTGACATCATCAGGCTTCAAGTTCTTCTGGAGCTTCTTGAATTTTCTTGACTTTATTTCAATTGCTCTTTGACTGCTTGTGTATCTGTATGTCCTCTTGCTTTCTATGGTGCTTTCTTCATGCACGCAATATAGCACGTCACGCCAACCAGGATCTATCAATACACGCTTGCCGACACCAGCCAATAGCTCTTCTTTTTCCAACTTCTCTATATATTTGAAGCCCTCTTCATCCACAGCTTTCGCTCTTCTATCAGCACCACTACCGCCTTTCTTCATATCATCATTTTGTTTCAACACAGACACACCAACACCATCAGTGAACAGCATGCCCCTAAACTTCGATGCTTTTCTTTCACTCTGTGGCTTCATTGCCTTTGCTGCGACACTGAGAACAGGAGCCCGTACTATTTCTTTGTCCAAATGGTTGGTGACAGGGTTTTTCAATATTTGCGTGTTTAAGATAAGCGTATCGATAGTCATATAGGATGGAATGAATGCCCTTCTCAGCGGAAAGCAATTAAACAACTTTCCTTGAAGGATTTCACACATACTTGATATTTTGTAAAACGCTTTTAAATGCTTCAAGACATTTACTTTGCAGTCATAATATATCGAACCTTTCGTAAATTGATAGTTAGGAGAATAAGAGCTAAATATATCATGAATTATGTCGACATCTTGGGAAGACAGCAGGTCTCTTGGTAAATCGTTTATCTTTCTAGACGAAACATGCGTTTTGACGTTGTTGCATTGTTCCACGATCGTCTTCACTATAGCCGACACTTCTTCTTCCGAGCCGCTATTCTTCATTTTGTTTTTTACTGCCTTTATTCGTTTATCCTTTTTCAAGACCATGTTCAAAAACATGCGTAACTTGTTTCCAAAGTGAGAAGAAACACCGTTCAGGTACGCAGTATTTATCTTTGTTACTTCATACGAGGCTATCTGCCGGGCATGCTTTAAATCCATTGGTTCATAAGAGCAATACTGAAAATACATATCTCGATGACTGTTGATAAGCTCTCGGTAGGTTCTTGACTTGAATGATATTTTTTGTTTATTGGCTTGTAACTTTGAAGAATTAATAAAAAAACTTCTCTATAAAAGACAATGTTGGCGAAATTCTGTAAGTCAAAGGCAGAGTTATGTTCCAGTTCTTGAATGAAGGTGTACTTCAAAAAAGGGAACGCGTGGGCTACAAGTGGCTTGAGTGGCGAAACATACTGTGGTTTCCATCCTATACCAGTAATGGAGCTTTTAACTGTTATAATTTTAAAGGTGGTTTCATGAAGAAAAAGAAAAAGATGGGTTGACAACTCTACATAGTTGTCAAATTATACTTAAATACGTACGGCATAGAATGCAAATAGTATAAATGCCCAACTGCTTAATTACAAAAAAGATGATGAATTGAGATAACTTGTAGGTTTTCAAAGACAAAAGACAGGAATAAACAAGTATTTGTGAATTTAAATACTTGAAAGGCAATGAAAAGGAGGGCTCTGCTTATACTTTTGGTGCCTGCTTACTGCTTATATATCATTTTATTTTCCTTATTAATTGCGCGTAGGTCCTACTTTTACCTTTTATGGAAACTATGATCTTCATTCTATAACAACAGTCTACAAGTTTTTGGCATGTGTCTACAAAAAATAGGTCTGTCTATTTTCTTTTCATCCACTTGTCTCAAATCTTTTTAGCGGGCGTCTCATTTATTTTATAAAGTGTTTAGCTTATTTTTTTGAATTGTCTGAATGTAAACATTTATTCGTCCAAAAAAACCGTTTGTCTGAATTTAAAAAAGGGGGAAAGACGCTCACGACAAAAGCTCAGCCAGCCAATAGAAATGTAGTCGTTTAGTTTTGTGGAAAGGTGATTTTGATCATGTTACAACTTGTTTAATAGGATAGCTCTTTTTTGCCTGACAATTGTCCATAAACGCAAGCATAAACTCGCTCATTATTGATCCACCACAGATGGCGTCGTGAGAATAAGCATTTCCCTTCCCCTTGTCAAGCAATTGATTTTTTTTTTTTCATCACATTAACAACTTAAGCTTCTGTTCTATATGAAAAAACTTTAAGGGCATCAATTATAAACATAATTCAGCTGATCAATAGAAATATTCTTTTTTTGGCGCACGCTTTTTATATAAGTAACAAATTATTCATGATGAGATACATTGACTATATAGTAAGGTAAAGCAGGCTATATCAAAGAGAAAGAGATTAATGATGATGAAAAGCAACATGCCAACTAAGAAACTTGCCTGAATCTTTTTGTTTCTATCACATTGCACTAACCATTCTGGCTTCACAATGGGTATTGAATGTTGCACTGCCTTTTCATAATTTGAGCCACCAGGAAGTTGAGCCAAGAGATGTGTTGTCTCTACAGTAACTTCATCTGTCCATGATGCACCCATCTTTGTCAACAGATCCTTTAATTCTGTCATCCCTGGCTCCGGTTGTTCAAACATACCAAAGGCAACTCGAATGCCCGTCAGATTATCCATCTTGTGTGTGCGTGCAGTGACCGTGTTTGATTTATACTCGCCTGCAGTTGTCTTGATGACAATATAAAACTCAAATTCATGATCCACATCAAGGCCAGATAACTTGATAAAGTTGGTGTCGATGGGTACATGCTGTCATGTATATGTTAATCAATATATTCTTATTATTACTATCATCATACCTGAGCCAACTTGACATTATTCTTGTATATATCTAATGAACGAAATTTGGCTGTATGCAACGTCAGTGAGTCCCACTCAAGAATGAGTGATGTCTGAGTGATGTTCTTGACGCGAACAGCAGGCGCAACAGGTTCAACAACTCCAAACTTTTCTAAAATGGCATCCTGCAATTGCCAAAACTCTTTCATCTTTTTATCCTCCTCAGACTTGTTGCGACTCACGGCAATGTTGACAATGCTTCCAGACGTGACGCCCTTTGGAAGTAGAAGTGAAGGAAACTCGATGAGATGATGGTCCTCAGTTAAGAGAATGGCCTAAAATAAAAGACATTAAGCTCTTTCTCTTTCTTTTCAAGTGATTCTAAAGTGTACCATTCCAGCATCTAACTTGCCTACTGTAAACTGTACTGAGGTCATTATCAATAAATATAAACTGTAGAAATAAAGTATATGTAAAAAATAGGCGGCCAATTAAAATAACTTTACTCGATCTTGCAGGTGGGGGTTTCGCCCGACATTGTGCCAAGAAATAATCCTGACCAGCCATAATCACACGGTTGCTATAGTGAATGGGAGAGGTAGTAATAGACTCTTTCATAACTCGCTCTTTATTAACAGATGATACATAAAATAAAAATTGACCAAACGATGTATAGCTTTATATCAATGATCCTTTGTATGCTGCAAAAAAAAAAAAAAAAAAGGATCTGAATAAAGCTCTTGATCCAGAGATAATAATAATGACTTTTCCTCAGTGCCTGCATCTATCTTGTAGTTATGAGACATTAAGCAACTAAAAGAGCAACTACACTCCTAATAGTGAAATGAATCTGATAATAACATAAGCTCTTCACTGTACATTGTCATCACCAGCCTCTTGGTGAGAATGCGTTTAGCCGAAAGTAATTTGTATAGTATCATTCTCTTTTTAAGAGATGGTAACCGATAGTTTTTCAACACACTAATTCAAACCTATCCTGAACATATACATACCAGCATCTTGTTTCATTTCCATACAAAAACGTACGAATGGGCACTGAATCTTTTCCTAGACTGATCTCTCTCTATAGACAACTTTATGCCCTGAGTATACAGCTGATAACATCGCAGGTATTTACTTTTTCAAATAAAGTAGCCTAAATAAAAAGAATATACATTGTCTGTTTATTTAATTTTAATAATCTCTTCTAGGCCTTCCTCCAAATCGACTGTTGTTATTATTGTTATTGTTGTAACCTCTATCAAAGCTTCTTCTTGGAGGTCGACCAGAAGAGAATCGACCAAAATCACGACCTCGGCTTCTTTGGTCTCTCATCACACTGGGAGGTGGTCCAATAAAAACTGCAACATCCAAATAATCACCAATGACAAATTTACACTCTTCTAATGTCTTCTTTTGTTCCTTTGTTGGTTTTGCACTAACAACTCGTCCAATGTCCCTCGCAAAGTATTTTGCACGATGCTGATCCAAATAAACAAGTCTAAAAGAAATTCGAGCATCTGGATCTCTAGCGTCTGGAACTACTTGTTCGATCAGTTGTGCAATTTCTTCAAGTGTAGCATTTTTCCTAAGAACTATTGTGTTATTTTAAACACTTTATTAGTATTCTTGTTATACCATGTATAAATCGCTAATTCATCCTGTGGCACTTCATTCACTGTATATGCACTAAGTCTGATTATAGGTTGGTTTATATCAAATATATACAATTTGAAATAAAACTTACTGATTATGTGCACCTTTACGAGTAAAGATTCTCAAAAGAAAAGGGCAATCCTATTCAATAGTTTGTGTAAGGAGTAAGTTTAGAGCGAACCTATTGTTAGATCTTACTTTTTCACGATCGACATTAGACATGTTTATGTGTGATTTTATTTTGGAGGAATTAAAGCAGCAAAACATTGTTTGCGCGCGTTCTTCAACCTTCCAAAATGTATTGTGACTGGTAAATGTCAAATGGATCACCAAGAAGAGAGAGCCATATAGAAGCTGCGATACATATCATAGATGAATTACACAAGTAAGTGCAATCTACTGGCCCTCATTTCATAACAATGCCTTAAACTTTTCTTTTCCTACTCTGTACTTTGCTTTGTTTATAAAATAAAGGGAGAAATTCTCCCTACAACAGAGCCAATTCTGGAGATACATCCTTTAGTTTTGTATAGCAATTTAATAGCAGAGTCGTATGATCGGTATTAGCCAAGCTTTTAGAATGGAGTTCTTGAAGATAATTTGTCAAGTTATATATTATTTGAGCGTCCAAAAACTATGTATTCTCTATAAGCATAACTATACATTTTAAATATACTTTGCTGTTCACCTTTCGAATTAAATATAAAAGCTCCAGCTGTCTTATAGTTCTTATATACTGTTCCATTGCACCATCATAATCACTCTTTTGTTACAAATGATCATCATATTTTTTGAATATTTCTGCGATACTGGTATCATCGTACTTTTGCATATGAGCTAGATTACTGGCCAAGACATAAAGGTTCAACTTCAATAGTATCTCTAATTTGATATAACTTACTCCAATCGTGACAAGAGTATTCTTTTGCTTAAGTTGCTTTAAATGAGTAACACGTCCGCCATCATAGGCTATGAACATTCTGGACTTGAAGGTACGATCTATACTGTGAACATTGCCTGAACTATGTAAACGTAGCAGTTAAGGATAATCGTTTAATTTGTAGGTTCATATTATATAATATCAGTATATTAAAAGGATATCTGCTGCTGCTATTTGTCCTCTTCCTGCTGTAAACACCAAGAGGTCATGTTTCTATATGAATGGTTATAAGGGGACTTGTTTTACTCAATTATGACTTGAAGGTACTTGAAATACTGCAGGAGTCTTTCCATGATCATTAGAGTCTGTTACTTGCTGTTTATCAAAAAAGTTGAATTGTCTCCACTGATTTAAAGACATTATGTGACAAAAGTAAAAGGTACGGAGATTGTTTCGAATTCACTTCGCTTTACAATAAATATAAACAACGACGAAAAGTAAAGAAAAAATAATGCTTTTGTAATGTTTAAATTATGAACACAAGTATGCACTTTCTTTATTTCTTTGTTCAGTTTAGAAAGCAGTAAAAGAGTATTGGGAATGAATACCAGTGTAAGCATTAATAAGCATCACAAGTATTGCTTTATTTATTATTTGGCGGCAGGGTAAACACATTTAACAAGATCAGATACCTTCGTGTCATAGAACTCGTCAACAATTTGAGAAGGAGCAGGCTGACCATCTACAAAAACACCAGGTATGGTACTAACAGTATCAAACAAGCACTTGGCCTGCATTGTATCTAGGTCTGTAAAACTCAGACTATCAGTGATCGGCTTGATAAACGCTTTTTGTTCTTTTGTCAAACCACCAACGATGGGAGCTATGTCTTGGGCAGCACTACCAGTGTCAACAGCTGCGGTAAAGCCAGTAGCAAAGAAGCTAGCAAACAGAGCGAGAGTCAAGAGTTTGAATTGCATTTTCTATGTTCCTTTTGAATGTATGAAAAATGGATTGAGGTCAACTCCAGTTCTCTTTTTATAATGAATTTTGGCGGCGTTAACAAGGTTTATGGTAAAGTTTATGATGCAGAAAATGGATCCTAAAAAAAGTGAAGAAAAATGCATATGGGCTGATCCTGGAAGCAAACATCAAGGGTCTGTGGATGGATAAATGCTCTAACAAGAGATTCAAGGTGCATTTTACTATTAACACCAAAGTAGATCATGAAGAATATGTAAAGTAAAAAGCCGAAGTAGCCAAGTATCGCTTTAGCTTGGACCTGTCAAGGTAGAATGCAATCAATGTATTCAAGTAAAATGGCACATGGCTCACTGTCGCATATTAGCACAATTGATCACTTTTCCTTCAATTCCTTGTGAATTTCTTATCATATATGAGCTCTTCTTAACTTACTAAAGAACTGTTTGAGACGATTGACTTTAGAATGAAACGTAGACACCAAAGCGTGTGTACATGTGCTTGCCTTGTAATTTTTTTCCTCTTTTTATATTGGTAGAAGACCTTGGCGATAAAATACAAGGGCTGGATTTTATAAAAGATGTCGTATCAGAGAAAGAGGAATTACTAGTCAATGAAGTGAATAAGCAAGTATGGTCAGGCCTTGACATAAGGTAAAGTATATATTGTATTGTAGCTTACTTGTCGGCAGACATTAATAACTGTTTCAATATCAAAGCTGAGGTCGTTGTCTGTCTGATCAATAGTATGAGTAACTATGAAGTACTGTCAAATATTTTTACTGTATTTTTATAAAATATTGTCGTAAAATAAAAAAATCATTTACGTAAAAAGACGACAAAGAAAAATATGTTTGAATAAAACGACATCATATCAAAAGGGAGAGAGATAATGAGTATATGTAGAAAAAGAAAGAAAAAGTATGTTAGTATTAGAGCACATATTCTAATATTAGTTTTACTTGCCACCAAGGTGCATTCTGGGGAGGGTAGCGATAACTACTCAGGATTGTTTAAACAAAAAAAAAAAAAAGGAACGGAGGACAGAGAGAACCCAGGGCGTCAGAAGAGATTATTGGGGAACGTTCCAGATACACACCAGAGAGCAAAGAGGGCGGAACAAGGGAGTCAGAGCAAGGACTATGAGGACAAGCTAGTTTTGATTGGTGAATCTTTGAACACTCAGAGGGACATTTGATAACTGCTGTAAAGAAGCAAAAAAAGGACTCAATTAAAATGGGTTTTTATATGTTTTTCTTTCAAACAGATTTCAGGATTGGATACTTAGGACAAAGAAATCATGTCAAATAGAAGCAATCTGCTTCGTGACCATTCAAGAATATGCATTGCCAAATATGACTACATGTTCTTCTGATTTCATGGAAAAACTGAATAAAGAATTTAAACTTTTACAGAGACTAAAGAGGGCCATTTCTAATACTAAGTTAATTTCAACTTCAAGACAGCCCACTTGTTGATATTACTGTCAAATGGGATAGTGAGCCATATTCTTTTTGTATTTGTTATTACTCTGATAACATTACAACGGTTTCAATACGACATCTCAATTTGGAAATACAGTATCTCCATGGATGTCAAGGCTGATACTACGAAAATATTCTTGGTAACGGCGAATTTACATTTCATACAACATGAATTTTGTTCTCACCATTGGGTGCATTTATTTTCGATCATAGGCAAATTTACTTTCCGGAAAGAGTGTATAACCTTGCCCATTCTAGAATATTACTTTTGTCACAACCCTGCTCTCCTTTCTGAAAAATTGATCGCAATAGTAAATAAAGGACTTTCCTTTTTGCATGGAAAAATTTATAGCAGTTTTATTATTATGAACCAAAAGTATGTTTATGGATATGTTTTCTATATAGCAAGCAATCTATCTTGTTTCCCCTTGACCCACAACATTACCTTCTCCTCCACCTCTTCCCGTTGTTCCTTTAATTCCAGCTTCTGCAATGGAGCCAAACAGTTTGTCTTGTGCAGACTTTTGCTGTCTCCTGTCTTCACGTTCTTGCTGTTGATCCATGGTGAGCTGATCTGTTGGCTTCACATTAAGAGAGTCAAGCGCCCTAGTAAACGCTACGTCAAAGTTGGTTGGTAGATGATCAAGAAGGATAGACTTTTTGATGATCAGCTCAGTTGATACTTTTTCAGGAGTTGTCCTCTCAATGACTATTCGAGATTCATTATTTGGAATAGGATCCTAGTTATATTATTGAGTATATAAATATACATAAATAGCTAACAAATACACTTACAAGCCAAAACTGGTAAACAGTTCCTGCAACATACAGCTATACAACAAAGGTCAGTTCAAAGTAGATTTAATTCATTGAACCTACTTACCCTTGGATTTGACATACTCTCGAGGCAGCGCTTTCTGCACTCTGAAATCCTCTTGAATGCGTCTTTCCACACCTCGCTATTTGTCTCGCTTGCCCAAAATAGTTGCCCAATACCAATGTTCTTTGCTGCCTCTGCCCCAGCCAGTATCAATTCTTTCACATCCATCATTGATCCATAGCTCAACTTGCTAACAAAATCATCTGCAAATACAATAGATGTAATTCGGTCCTGTAAGCTCGATACGTTAATAGAATGCTTCCCTTTTTTACTATTGATCCAAGAAATACCTTGTATCGATTGGCAAGATCCAAGCTTAGTCCGCAGGCAGGAGCATAACCAAAGCATTGGATATTAAAATCTCTGTCTTTTCCTTTACGAAACTCGTTCAAGTAGTCTGAAAGCATGATGGTCAATATTGCACCGGTTGCCGCACCAAGACTATGGCCGACGATGTAGAGTGATGTTGTAGAATGCTTATTTACGTATGCGATTAATTTAGGTGCTACATTTCGAAAGAACCAAGCAGCCGAAGACTACTTACAAAGATAAATATGAATGACCTTGGAGTAGTTGTGACTATACCTTCATTCCTTTATGCACAAGGCCACCTTTCCAAGGTTCATACTCACAGACGAGATCAGTCATGGTATCAAACGTGCTCTATGGATATATATAAAATCAAATCATTAATTACGGTCAAAAGCATTTTCTTTTTTGAGATCTTACCATCGTTCCTCTAATACTTAGAACAATAGCATTTAGCTTTCTATCTCTGGCAATAAAATAGCTTGGTCTAAAGGCAGCACCTGTTCTAAGCTCATATGCCAGCAGATCCTCTTTGTTTAGATTCAAATGCTCGCAAATCGATAAGGCGTCAGATTGTGCTCTTACTGCATCTGAGAATATGCCATTTCCCTTTCCAATAAAATTCAAGCCCTTCCACCCATAAGATGCCATAGCATATCTCCACATATATGAAGCCATTTCGATTTCCGAAGCGTCTTGAACTGTATCCCAAGTTCTATCTCTAGGAAGGTCTGTATAAAACTTTTCGACAACTGTAAATCCAGCTAAAATCTGCAGATTGGACAGCTCGAAGCCTTGTCCCTATGTGACGATCATTAGTTCCATTTTGTGCTCTGAACAGAGTCTTGCTTACAAATGCAACTAGTAGTTTCGCAATAGCACGCAGCACTTGGTTTGTTTCTTTTGCCATTGCCCATGAACCTATCGTGTTAAGCAGAGGGAACGATTTCAGACCGTCGTCGTCGTCTTTCAAGATATTCTTTTCCAAATCTTCATAATGTGCTACTGTAGTCGTTGTGGTCTTTGTAGTTGTAGTTGTAGTTGTACTTCTGTTGTTTGTCATTTGAGTAGATGTCTTTTCTGTATCCGATGAGAATCCAAATAGAGAAGTTATAGAGTTTAAGAATGAACCATTATTGGATGGTACAGGTTCTATATCCTGTGCTGCAGTTGAAATGGTGCTTGCGCGTGATCTTGAAAGTGATAATGGTCGTTCTGGTTGATATTGCTGCTTCTGTTGCTCCTCTTCTGTACCACTATCATCAGGGAAATCCTGACCATCATCGATGCTGTCCTCATCCTGTTCATACTTGTTGAATTTTATTTCATCATTGGACTCTCTTTGCGTCTTTAATCTTCTATTGAACTCTTCAATGAGCTCGCGATCACTAAACTTGTTTTCGTGCTCCAATTCCTTTTGCTGTTTATCAATCAGGTAATTCATTTCATTAACATCTACAGAAGTGTGATGTAGTTCTTCTGGTGAACGATGATAAAGATATGCTATCTGTGCTTGGATAGCTCCTACACCTGATGTCATTAGTGTCTTCCTGCTGACTTGAGACATGGCACCGATCGCCAGTTTCTTTTCAAATACTTCATAGTAGCTCGTGAATGACTCGGGCATCCCTTCTAGGTTTCGTAGTCGTATCTCTGCTCTTCCGATATGCTTATCCAAGAAAAAGACATTGCTGTCGTACAAGTCAAGCTGTATTGTATCAAACAATTGATTGTGGTAGGTCACTTTTAACTCGAACCCTTCGTTCCAGTATCCTTGCGGGTATTCCGATATAGACGTACGATGAATTTGGTCTGTCTGCCTTATTAGCGCAATTGAACAGTTACCAACAAAACCTTACCTCCTAGTGTTATGACTACATAAGGACGTTTGACTTGTATATTCAAAAAGCAACTGTTGACAGTAATCTTGACACGCGCGCGGGGTTTTGAGGTAAGTTAATGAAGAAACAGAAAAATCTTTATAATATATGGACATTTTGCTTACTCGTAGAATCCCTGGTAGGAGCGGTGGTGTGTTTTTTCGTTGTAAGCTTGGACTGGTTGACATGGACAATGGTATTAAAAAAGATAAAGATAAAAATAAAATAGAAACTAAAGGGTGATCGTGAAGTCATGATAATTCTTCCATTTTTGGAAAAAAATGCATTTCACAATTCTGTGGTTGATTATTCTCGACTAGTGTCCTTTTTATTCGAGATTTATACTTGATGTATTTGAAGGAATTATAGAGCCTGAATTAGTTTAGAATAGAACACGCTTCAGTTTGAAAGTGCCAGGAGACGTATTCTTTGTTATCTTTTTCCTTCATATATCTTTCATTTTTGGCTCAACTTTTTAGTAAAAAAGTTTCATGTCGAAAAAGTATCTTCTTACTTGGTATCCTGGCTTAATAAAATGAGCAGATAATCTGTATAAACTAGACGACTGAGACCAAGTCAGGTTTAAGTTAATGAGAAAAAGAGAGTGTATCCTTATTCTAACACTGTTCTTGAATGTCAGCATATCTTGTATCTCTCATGCACCCATGAATCAGACTGTATATGATCTGCAGCGACAAAGATTGGACCTAATAACAAAGGTAGTCATGTCTTCAGTTTTTTATCCATATTAACTTTGTGAATTTATGTCCAAGTATACTCTTGTCATTAGTGTTACAAATGTCAAACAATAATGGTTTTATTAAATTATCTAACCTCCATTTACTACGGCGTTTTTCTCATCTACTCAGGCAAGTAGCAACAGTGGTAGCCATGGTAATCACAAACATGCACAGTTCTCTTGCCCTATGCCTCATTGGCTCTGTTCTTTGCGAACCTCTCTCTGAGAGATGGCCTTTACTTTACCACGATCAGACACTATCAGAAAAGGATCAACCACTGATAGGTCAATCTCACGATCCAAGGTTAACGTCAAGGCTGTCAAGCAGTAAATCATAGTAATATCAGTTCATTAACCTTTTCTGCTTCCGGAAACTTGCCAACTATGGTTTCAGCTTCATATGTTATCACTACTACATTCGTCAAGTATATCTAGCCCATATTCGCTCCCAATACCGAAATCACAAAGCAATTTAAAATATTCACAGTAGCACATGCATTTTTAAACAACTTGTTCTTACTGATCCAGACACAAAACCTAACGTGATATCCAAAATATACACACTCATCTCTGCCTTAGGACATTCTATGCCTTTTGTGAATATTATATCAGCCATCACTTCCAAGGGACGGCAGGAGCCCTTTCTCAATCGTGTGCTACTTGGAGAAGCATGCTTTCAATTCGTGACAATGCTGCACTTTCACATCTTTGACGAGGCGCAAACTGAAGTTGTGGCGTCCTGGTGAAATATTTGAGGGATTAGCTATCAAGTGATAATCGCAGGCTCGTTAAAATGCCTTTACAAATTGATGAAGGAGCGCTATGAATCCATGGTAACCAACGCGCTCTATGAGGCTATGATATGCTGCCCAGCAAGCTGCCATAGACATATGTTTCCTTGAATATCTATGACAGATTATTCAAGGGAATTAACTTGAGGATGAAGTTGATGCCATAGTTTGATATATGCTCTAGATATCAGTATTCTTCACAAATGTAATTATTGCCAAGTGTACACTAGATGATGCTGATGAAAACAGAAAGTTATGTCAAAGACGAGGGATAGATTGTTGCTTGACTCTGCTAAGCTTGACGATTAATTTACTTTAGAGTCGTCTATTTAAAAAAGTACATGTGTTTTAAGAGAAGCATCTAGTGTGCAGAACCATTTTAGAACAAGAAACAGAAAAGAGAAGAAAGCTGTGCAACTTATTTACAGAGGCTTTAGCATTAAAGATAACTGGGCTTTAACAAAGTAACTACTGGTGCTGGATCGCTATTGTCACATAGAAGTAAATTGGTGAAGATTTCGACAATAAATGCCTATGAGATGTTATATCATACAATACAAGGAAGTAATAGCTATTTATGAAGTATAAGTTACCACTCATTTGGCTTTACCCGTTATTTTAGAGTAAATATTTGGATTACGAAGAAAAAAAAAAAAAAAACGCGCAAGGAGGCAAAAAGGATTGTTTCAAGTGCATCTTTAAATTAAGGCATATTATATAGATGAAAATTCTTTACTTTCGCAGCTGTATCAGCTTGGTGAGCACCAATAGTTAAATTAATGCGAATGCTTAGTAAAATTTGATAGAATAGAGGTTGATGTTGAAGAAGAAATATTCCAAAGACGAAAAGAACCGTCATTATATCTGGACAATGGTAAAGTGGTTTACTTTAACAGTTTCAAGAGAAATACGTAATCTATATTTACCCTACTGCATAATCTTTGTTGTTGGGACTTTTGGCAATACTAGTCACTTCTGATTTGCTGCCAGGTACTTTCCACCTTGCAATCTGACATTACATAAGTATACTCTGTTTTACTGACCTCTTTTTGTTCTTACCTCAGTTTCTTTCTTTAGATCCCAAAGAATGGCTTCTTCAAGGGCAGGCGTAATAGCAACTTTGCCGGCATGGTCATAGACAATGCTGGACCGCGTTGAGGCAATGACACCAAAAGTGGCAAGCGGCTCATGACGAAGATATGCCTTTATCATGGCTTCGTTCTTTTGCTTATTATTAATCAGTCAACATGAATGCACCAGATCGTTTTGAGTTATTCGTTATTCCTGAAGGGAAAAAAAGTAGACCAAGCTTAATAGTAAAAAAAAGAGAAAATGAAATTAATTTGGCAACTCCTGCAAGGATACAACAATAGCAACAGATCTGTGTAACTGAAACTTTTACTGCTAGTGAGCATTTGTCTAAAAGTCTTGTTGCTATTACCGCCCTTTCTGTTATTTTACCAGATATTATTGCTTTTACTTCTTTTTTCTTATCTTAGTCAATAATTATTCAATATGATGGGTAATAAGTGTATATAATACATCACGTAACGGTTGCTGCGGTTACATTCATTTCATTCTTGTTACAATATAAAAGATAAAAAGAGAAGGAGATGACTTCATAAAATTAATGTGTAGAAGCATTCAATGCCATAAGCATTTAAATCCACTTAAGCTGTATAAAAAACCTCGAAGGGATTAACAAAGTTAGTTTAGGATGAATGACGTTTGTTATATCATCATTCGAGTGTGTAAACAAAATAAACTTTTTTTTTCAATTTCTTTATTCTCTCTGTCTATTTTCGTTTATTATTTCTTTCTTCTCTTTTTCTTTAAATATCATGTCGATACCAACAAGAAATGCTATATATACATCACCAAATATACCACCTATGGCTGCTACACCTTATGCCGCTACACCTTATACAACACCCTTTATGCCAACGCAACAAGCTGGTAAGTGCCAATGTTAACTATTACTACAAGAAAATACTGATTCGTATCAGGATACTACCCTCCTATGGGCTCAATGCATATTGGCGGACCACCACCACCGATGATGATACAACAACAGCAGCCAATTTTTCTGCCGAGAAGAGAACCATGTGATTGTTGTTATAATGATTGTACTGGATGTTGCTTAGGATGGTAAGTTTTCTTTGTTTAAAAGGGGAAGGCATATCTTGATTATTATTATAGTTTGGCGTCAACGTTCTTATGCTGTTGTTGTTGTGGAAACGGGCATGACGACTGTTGCTAGCCAAAAGTAACTTTTCTTTTTTGCTTTGATTCACACCCGCATTTCCCAAAATGACAGATTGTGTAATTTTTAACGAGGCCTTTTTTTTTCCTTCCACTTTTCTAACTTACCATTTTTGGACACCAAACAAACGACTTACAGAATCGCATTAAACCAATTCTCAAGTCGCAGGATCATAAAAATAGAAGCTTATATAAACACATTGAACCTTTTGGTTTTTTGTCATCCCTGCATGTTTTACATTTTGGAATGAACAATTTTTTTTTACAAGATGGAAATCTCGATAAGTACACGCTCTTCGTGTCTATACTACTATGCAGATCAAGATAAGAATAAGATTTTTCATATTGATATATAAATTAGTTGTGCATGATTATCGTGCCTAGTTTATCACCATCTAAAATGATAGACCATACTTTGACCTTTTTATGCTTGTTCATTGAGCTTATAGTACCTGGCAGCAAAAGTGTTTACCTGCAGAAAAGGTCTATTTCCCGCCTAGAATGACACTTACTTAATTTGGTTGCCATGATGACACTTATAATTCAGTAAACGACTGATGCATGGGTACAAGGACAAAGCAAAACAGATGTTTAAATGAAGCGCCTTGAGTATAGAAAAGGCGCTTTAGGGGAATAAATAGATTTATTTTTGCTTGAGCATATGATATGGCATCATCAGGATGACTTGGGATACGCTTCATTCACTAAATCCCAATCGTGATCAATTGAGTTCACGGCCTCCTGACTTGATCCTTGCTCGTTATCTTTATTCACTCTTTCAATCTTGGCCGACAAATCATTCATGAATCGATCAATTCGGCTGTGGAAACCATAGAGCAACAGATGCATTAACCTCACTATCGGTTTCTTCATCACGCCCTGTTCTGTTATTTTCAACAAGACTTGTGTATCATTATCCTCTTGAGGCGTAATCTCAAATGTCCATGAACCAGAGAATGTAGGTATCTTATTATAATGATTCATATTTTCTTCTAGTATCCGTAATAGACATCTTTCTGGACTGCGTACATGATGAATAATGACTGTATGTCGCTTTTTTACAGAGTATTCGATAAATGTCACTCGATCTTCTTCTCTATTCTGAATATCTACCTTCTCTACTTTTGGTTGCCATTCTGGATATTTTGATACATCGGTTAGAATAGCCCATAGTCTTGAAGGCGTGGTTTTAATGGTTCTCGTCCTTGAAACAATGTGACTTGCAGGAACTAAGAGACCAATAACATAAGCGAATAGAGGTATGCTTGGTATTATAATAAAAATGATTATCGCAGCAGTAAAGAATGGCATAGAGACTAAGAAAAGAAAAGGGTAAGAAATAATAGTAAGGGAATTTATTTCAAAGGCCATGTGGCACGCTTATCTTAAGCCACATTTCATTACTAGCTTGAGTACTTACTTTTACATATCTGAAATCTGATTGGATAATGGTTTGCAGCATTTTAAATGGTGCATGGTTTTTCTGTTTTGGTCCCTTATCTACCAACGACTGCGATCGGGCGGACTGTTTCTGCCATAAAGAAAAATATTTTACATTTATTTTTTTTCTTCTTTTTTCTTCTTCAAACAAGAGCAAAGTAGATGATGGTTACTGCAACTAGTGAACAGGCAGCTCTTGTTACTGAACTCCTGAATAAGATCAACACAGCGCCAACATCTAATGAAGTTGATCAAGCAGCCCAAGAATTAGCAAAGGCTGTTCAAAGTAAGGGCATGATTATGCTTAAGCAATACAAGATATTGGATCAACTCTTGGCTTCGACAAAGAACAAGAAATCTGGATTAGAGAGAGAAGGTGGATTGATTGGTTTCAATGCGATGGAAGAAGTATTGGGACATGAAGTAGAGCCCTTATTAGTTCAACACTTGGCCACCTTTCTTGATCTTTATGCTGATAAGGGTACTGTAGTGCAAGAAGCTGCTCAAGTTGCTTCTCGTACCTTGGTTGACTTGATGCCACCTGAGGCAACCAAGGTCCTGGTTCCTATTCTTTTGGACGGTATGGGCTTTAACAGCTCCAAGAAGTGGCAGACCAAGATAGGAGCTCTCAAGTTATTGGAACGTTTCACTGAAAAGGCCCCTGAACAGATCGGTGAATGCTTACCCGAGATTATTCCTGCTGTTTCTGACTGTCTGTCTGATACCAAAAAGGAGGTCGCTGTCGCTGCTGAAAAGGCCATGACAAAGGTTTGCGCTGTAGGTGGAAACCCTGATATCCACAAGCATCTGAAGGACCTTGTGTTGTGTATGGGCAACCCTACACGTGTACCCGAAACAATCGAAAAATTGGCTCAAACCACATTTGTGGCCGAAGTAAATGGTCCTACCTTGGCTATCATGGTCCCTCTCTTGACCCGTGCATTGAATGAACGCTCAACAACGATCATGCGTCAAACAGTCGTCATTACCGATAATCTCTGTAAACTCGTTCGTGATCCTCGTACTGCTGCTCAGTTCTTGCCTCAACTCTATCCTGGTATCGAACGTCAAGCCGAATCTGCTGCCTTCCCTGAAATTCGTGTTTTGGCCAACAGGGCAAAGGATACCTTGATCGCTGCTGGTGGGCATAGTGAAAAGACCGATGCTGTCTCTGCCTTTGTTACAGTGGAAGAAGGCACTGCTGCTGTCAAGTCAGCTGCTACCAAGGCACAAGGATTTTTGGACTCCTTCTTTAGTCCTTATCTTTCCTATCTGGGTACCATCGTTGCTGATTTTGCTCGTCAAGAAATGTTTACCAAGGAAAAATGGGTCAAGGTTCTTACTCCTTATCTCAAGGCTTTCCTTATGAAGAGTGATATCCCTGCTGTTATCGATAACGTGTTTGATCAAGTACACAAGCTTTTTAAGGAACGCAATAAGGATAATGACGATAGCGCTATTGATGAGCAAGAGGGTGAAGAGATTTGTCACGTCGAAGATTTCTCACTTGCCTATGGTACTCGTCTCTTACTTAGCCATACCAGACTCAAGTTACACCGTGGTCAGCGTTATGGTCTTTGTGGAGAAAACGGTGCTGGTAAGAGTACTCTGTTGAACGCCATTCACAACGGCAAAGTCGAAGGATTTCCTCCTAAAGATCAAGTGCGTACTGCTTTGGTCGACTACAACTCTCAAGCTGCTGATACATCTCTCAAAGTAGTAGACTATGTTTCTGCTGACACTACATTACAGCATATTAGCCGTGAGGATATTGAGAAATCTCTTCGTGAAGTTGGATTTGATGATGCTCGTTTGGATGTCCCCGTCTCCGGTTTGTCTGGTGGTTGGAAGATGAAGTTGGAATTAGCCCGTGCTATGCTTTCAAAGGCAGATATCTTATTGCTTGACGAACCTACCAATCACTTGGATGTTACCAATATCAAATGGTTAGAGGATTATTTGAACGCTCAAAGTCAAGTTACGTGCTTGATCGTTTCTCACGACTCTGGATTTTTGGATAATGTCTGTACCAAGATTCTTCACTATCACAACAAGAAGCTTCGTCTATACCACGGTAACCTGTCTGCTTTTGTCGAAGTCTATCCTCCTGCTCGTACCTATTATACATTGGATGCCTCTACAATTGAATTTACCTTCCCCAAGCCATCTGTCTTACAGGGTGTCCGTTCCAATACCAAGGCTATCTTGAAGATGACTGACTGCACTTACACTTATCCCGGTAACAAGCAGCCTTCTCTGTATAACGCATCTGCCTCTCTTTCCCTTTCCTCTCGCGTGGCCGTCATTGGACCAAATGGTGCTGGTAAGTCAACCATGATCAAGCTGTTAACTGGTGAAATGATACCTCAAACTGGTACTGTCTGGCGTCATCCTGCCCTTCGTATCGGTTACGTTGCCCAACACGCTTTCCACCACTTGAACCAACATCTCGAAAAGACACCTACCGATTATCTTCAATGGCGTTATTCTACTGGTGAAGATAAGGAAGTAGCTGAAAAGGAAACCCGTGCATGGAGCGAAGAAGAAAAGGAACAGATGCAAAAGTTTATTAAGGTGGATGGCGAAGACAGACAGATTGAAGTACTCTTGGGTCGTACCAAGCTCAAGAAGACATTCCAATATGAAATCAAGTGGAAGAACAAGCTTCCCAAGTTCAACAGCTGGTTCTCTCGTGAGCAATTACTCGAACTTGGATTTAACAAGTTGGTACAACAGTTTGATGACAAGGAAGCCTCTCGTGAAGGTTTGCTTTACCGTGAGCTGACGATGCCCACAATTCGTCAACACTTTGCTGATATTGGTCTTGATCCTGATATTGCTCAGTACACCAAGATGAGCGCTCTTTCTGGAGGCCAAAAAGTTAAGGTGGTTATCGCTGCTGCTATGTGGAACAACTGTCATATGCTTGTCTTGGATGAACCTACCAACTTTTTGGATCGTGAAGCCTTGGGTGGATTAGCTACAGCCATCAAGAAATGGGAAGGTGCTGTCGTCATGATTTCTCACTCTAATGAATTCGTGTCTGCTTTATGTCCTGAAACCTGGAGAATTGAAGGAGGTAGACTTCAGAGAGAAGGACAGTTTGCTGTAGACGATGAAACCAAAATTGATGAAGAAAAAGTGAAGGCCAAGATTTCCAAGAAGAAGAAGAAGACTCGTAACGAAATTAAGGCACAAGAAGAGCGTCGTCGTGCTCGTCACCTCAAATGGATCATTGAGGGAGGAGAAAAGGAACCTGATACAGAAAGCGATTAGACAGCATATGTGTATTTATCCCATTTAATTAGACATACATATATTTATTTTCATGCCTGCATTCATTATAAAAAATAAATTTATACAAATAATGATACTCTACATCTGTCTGCGTATTTTATATGTAATTGATATTTGCAAATTAGCTCACTCTAGCCATAAATGTATTTCGTACTGAGCCTTCAAAACGGATTCATCTCTTTCCACTTCTTTTACCGTTATTGTCCATTGTTTTATGACTGTTTATTATCCTTCTCTTCTTAACAATCAATGATATGCCCATAGAAAGAAAGACAACATAAAGCTATAGTATACCTTGGGGGACCATAGACTGGAACGATGCAAGTGTAGTTGTCATAACAACAGATAGTTTACGTCATTTTTATTGGCTGGTTGAGACAGAAACAAGCAATTGACAACACGCGTCATTTTTTCTACAGTCGCATAAACACTTCTTTTTAACTTTTACAAAATAATTAATCATGGTAAAAACAATCATTCAAATCAAGTAAATGACACTAACCTTTCGACGCAAGTTGCTTCGCATTCGTTCTAAAGAGGGCATGCACAGAGTCCAAGTGGACAATGACGAAACATTCGGAACACTTGCTCAAAAAATAGCAGAATTACTACACATAAACGACCCATCAACAATATCCATGGGAAAAGATCCCAATCCTTCAACAGCTGCATCACTTACTCAGCTAGCTGATAAGACTATCCAGTCTGCTAATCTCAAGTAAGAACTTGTAAAAAAAAGCCCTACGTAAATATTAATGCTGCATTGCTTTAGACACGGTGACATAGTATATGTTTCTTATGCTGAACAAGCTCAACCTATTGTTAATCACAAAGATACCGACACGTCATCACCTATGCCTCGAGATCATGTAAAGCAAGATCCTGTAGATGATTTTCTAGAGAAGCAAAGAGGACTTATTCATCGTAAGAAGGATCCTAAATTGTAACGTATGCCCATTAGCATGCGAAAGTTGTACTTATTGATTTTATTAGCTGTCGACACGGAGGTAATGCCATGTGCGACTATTGTATGCCACTTGAGGTGAGTATATGCAAGGCTTTAAAGATGAAGCAAGTAGATATTGATGAAATTTAAAATAGCCGTATGATGCCAGCTATCTTGAGGAGAATAAGATCAAACACATGTCTTTCCATGCCTATTTACGTCAACTTACAGCCTCACAACAGAGCAAGAATGTACCTGTACTGGAAGAACAGGATTTTAGAGTCAAGGTGCCTTGTTCGGGTGGCCATGCTCCATGGCCAGAGGGTATCTGTACCAAATGTCAACCCAGTGCTATCACATTACAGCAGCAGGTATGATAGATTAAACAGCAGTAGTGATATGAAAAAGATATTGATGTATTTTTTAGGCCTATCGTATGGTAGATCACATTGAATTTTCATCAGCTTCTATTATTGAATCGTTCCTAAACTATTGGCGTGCCTCTGGATCTCAACGTTTTGGATATTTGTATGGTCGATATGAGCCCTATCTTGATATCCCACTAGGTATCAAAGCTGTTGTTGAAGCCATATACGAACCACCACAACAGGATCACTCGGACGGTATCCAATTAAACCTGCCTTGGGAAGAAGAAGAAAAGATCAACAAAGTAGCAGAAGCATGTGGATTAGTTAAAGTGGGTATGGTCTTTTCAGATCTAATTGACGATGGAACAGGCACCGGTAAAGTTATTCCCAAGCGACACGTCAATTCCTATTTCCTTTCTTCGCTTGAATGCATTTTTGCTGCTGAGATGCAGAAAAGACATCCTAATATCTCTAGACACTCCATCTCTGGAAAGTTTGGCTCCAAGTTTGTAACATGCGTCATTTCTGGTGATACAGAGGGTAATATTGATGTCAATGCATATCAAGTGTCAGACACATTGGCAGCACTTCAGGAAGCCGAAATTGTTGAACCCAGTAGAAACCCGTCAGTGATGCGTGTAAAGGACAGTATTCCGCATGAACGATATGTGCCTGAAGTATTTTACAAATTTAAGAATGAATACAATGTGGTTGTCAAGCAGTCAGCCAAACCAACGTTTCCTGTGGAGTATTTGTTGGTGAATGTAAGAAATGGGCCATTAGGAAAGTTGTATGATCTAACCTGCTCTCCTAGGTTACCCATGGTTTTCCGCACAACCCATCACCTATGTTTAACTCAACCTCAACATTTCCCGTGGAAAACAGAGATGGCCTGGCGCATCAAAGTATGAGCGAATTAGCTAAAACAATAGATTCAGCACAAAACGACGATCAACTCAAAAATGTCTTGGCGGATTTCCATCTGTTATGCTTTATTCAATCTGCTGATATTCTGAATCTTGAAGAGTTTAAAGAGCTCTGTCAAATAGTGACCCAACCAAATGGTGATATGAAGAGATTAAGGGAACTGAATGGATGGATGACACTTGAGTTACTGTTAAAGGAAACAGGTAAGTAGACATTACAGAAAAAATACAAAAATACTTAGGATTTGCTTGTTAGGCAAACATACAACAACTACAGTAAAGGCATCAACCAATGCATCTTCTGAAATCTCATGCAGACACTGTACCTTTATGAATCCATCAAGTAATGAAAGCTGTGAGATGTGCGGTTTACCTTTGTCACAATAAAGAAATGAAAATTGCTAAAATAGGAGTATCCCATACTGTTGTTGTACATTGATCAGTCTATGTACTGTGGGAGAGAGCTTGTCCTTAAAAAGGAGAGAAAGAACAAGAAATGGGATCGGTAACCACAGTTATCACAAAAAAAGGAGATAATGAAAAACACGGTATTTTTCGGATTTGTGCTACTAGTTTTCGTTTGGGATGATTGCCACTCTGCTTCTCGGAAAGGTGCTGTCTGTAGTTTAGATCAATTTATAAAAGCTAACTCCAGTCTAAAAGATTCCATATGTGTACTTTAAATAAGCAGCTTCAAGATATCGGATTTTCGTACGTCTAACATGCAACAACAGGACGTTGATTGAAATGGTATACATCAAGCTATTATTTATAGTAACAAAGATGATCAATCGCTCCTTTCATATTAATACACATATCTTGCGAGTTTGCTACCTTTCTCAATACCAAAGCCAATGAATGCATTTATTGTCATGCTCAAAAGCCATCACGGAATAAGTCATCTTCGATTCTCTTGAGGATTATACCATATGCGGTAGATTCGTTTTGCTGACTTGTTACTACGTACAATAGCTCTATATTTCTTCACTGCATTCGATAAAAAAAGATAAAGACACATTGCCATAGGGCGCTTTTGAAGAATGATGTGCGAAAGAACATCGTCCCTTGTAGCTCAGCGAGCTGTAGCCAAAGAAGCCTGGCGCTATCTTATCTGCTTGTATTATTTACTTATCATTTAGTATTGCGTTTCTATATTGTACGGCATGAGCTTGGTTTGTAGAATTTCTCTTTTTATAAGGACAATAATGATACGGTACTTTAGGAACATGTCATCACTCTAAATTGAAATGAGATATCATTAGTTAATATTGCTTAGCACATTTTCTATTTGACCTTGTGTTGCTCGTTTCAGTAGATCTCAGCTCCTTTAATCCATCTTGAACAGTATTTTAGAAATAAATACCTTGGTAATGCATAATATAATCTAATTACTCTATATCAATTGGCTTTTTTGTGTATGTTTCGTAAAGGTAGACATGTTGCTTTTACATCAAAAGCGAGTTTAGATAAGTTCTACAGTTTTACACTACAACAACATGTGTTTTGATAATTACAAGGGGCAAGGCAGAAATAATGAATTCCATAGATCTACCAACTTTGATTGTACTTTTTTTTAATATCAAAACAATGGGAAACAACGAAATGTGTGGTCCACAATAAAAGACACGAAGTTGCTTAATAAGGAAAAACATAATTCATTGTTGTACAGTGATCAGCCTTTTCATTATTGTTTTACGCTGGGAGAAGACACGTTATCAACAGGGAGTGAAAGAGAAATAAAAAGAAATAATAATAAAAAGACCCAAGACTGGGTAATGATAGAAGGAAAAAAGGAGACAATGAAAGTTCACTAAAGACGATATCTAACCTCAGACCATTTGCTTGTACAACTATTCAAATTTTATCTTGTGTATTTTCTTTTTCTTTTCTCTTCCCCTCCTTTCTACTCTTTCTCTTTCCTTTGCTTAACGCACATGGGTAATAGAAGAAGATCCATTACGATTACCACCAATACGCCTCATGCATCTAAATCAGACGGTGCAAATACTTTATGGGGCCATGGTAACAGTAAATTATTGTCAAGGCTCAAGCCTAACACGGTCAATACCGGTCATAACCATCAACGTGAAGTCATCCCTTCTGCTTCTGCTTCACTTACATTACCTCTGATACAAACACAAAAGATAAAAAGAAAGGCTGCCGACTCAAAAAAATCGAACGATGTTTTATTGGACGACTCTATTTCAAAAAAGGTTAGTTCGTGCAGAAATATCTACAAAGCTTATTTACAGTGTTTATAAAGAGAGGATTTGGAAAGCTCTTATTTAGAACAAGACGAAGTAAATCAATTGACCAACATAAAAAATTAGACGAAACCTCAAAGAAAGAGCCCTACCAACCCATCTATCAGCCTTATCCAGCACCTTCTACAGATAATAGAAAATCATCAGGTTCATGTTCTATCTACAGTACATTTGGAACAGAGTCAGTAGATGATGCTCTTTTAAATGTGCCAGTCGAGAAGAAAGATAATCTTGAGCAATTAACAAAGACGCGAATGCCAGATGAAATCGAAGATAATGAGACAGTAACAACAACAGAAGGAGAAGATGATGACGATGATGAAGATGATGAAGGACGTCAAGTATTTGTTGATGCATTGGAAGAGTTAAAGAGAGAAAAAACCGCAGCAAGGTTATCAAAACGATTAAGCGGTGGGCACTTTGGTAGTGCTGGGGGACTGATGTTGAGTATCATGGCTGAGGAAGAAAAGATAAAGCCGCCACCAGAAGATATTGCGGAATCAATGATCAATTGGAAGAGGAAAAGCGCCCAAGCATTGCCTGTGTTGATTGAAAGCAACCTACCAGAGATTATGATCGTTGAGGACGATGAAGCAAAAGAGTGCGCAAAAAAGCTCTGGCATGAAGATGAGACTTTTGTGCAACGGGAAAAAATTGCAGAATGGCTGGGTCAAAGGTAACCTTGTCCCTTTCCATTTGTATTACGTTATACAGTCGCTAAATGAGCCCTTCTTTTTTTGTTAGTAAATCCTTGAATGCAAGTGCCTTGAAGGAATACATGTCGTACTTTGATTTCAAAATGATGAGATTGGATAGTTCGTTTAGGTAAAATAAAATGAAATAAAAAAATGTCAATCGCAGCCAAATAACACATTTTGTCATATCAGAAAGCTGTGTTCAAAGCTCTATTTTCGTGCTGAAGCTCAACAAATTGATCGAATCTTGGAAGCTTTTGCAAAGAGATACTGGGAATGTAATCCAAGAACTATATTTCGAAACTCAGGTAATTGTTGTTATGACAACAAGGACACTGTTAACCCCTTTTCATAGATACTGTCTATGCTGTTGTGTATTCTCTTTTGTTACTAAATACAGATCTCCATGTGGCACAAGGAAACTACACGAGAATGACGCGCCAAGCTTTCATAAAGAATACAATGACCACGATCAAAGATCAACCGGCAAACAAAAATCAATCGTTTACACCAACATGGGAGGCACATATCGAGTCTTACTTAAAAGTACGTTTATTAACAAAAAAGAGCACAATGTCACTCAAAACTATTTATAGGATTTATATATATCTGTCAAGCATCACCAAATCCTGCATCCTTTATCTCAGCAACCGATCAATAATGATCTGCTTAACCCACTTCAAGAATTGACAGCCAGCACAAAGCGTCTAAGCATCATGGGCAGTAAACGAATGAATGACTTTAAGAGAAATATCAATATGATGATGAATAAAAACTCTGGCCGTGAAAGCATGATACTTCACGAAGACCCAATTGTAAGTAGATCAAGACACGAGGGCATTTAGGTGAAACAGCTTTGCTAAAGTGCCCAACTTTTTAATTTATAGCCACGTAAAAGTACCAGTTCAGCACATCGACCACGTTCACCATATGCAACACTACGATCACACCGAAGAGATTCACTCTCATCTGTCAACTCGGCTAATTCTTCTGGCGGCCAGTTCTTACCTCCAACACCTAAAAGTAGCGTCAGCAGCAATCCGCTAACACCTCCTGGCAATCTACTTCATTTCCCTGATAGTGTCAACCTGTTCTCAGATAGACCGCCTTACTATAAGGAAGGCGTCGTTATGCGCAAACATCTCTTGGAAAGCGCTAATCAAAAGGCCAGGCACCGTGAATGGCGTGAATGTCTATTGATCGTAGGACATGGTCGATTAAAGATGTATGGATTTACTGGAGATTATAATAACGACTTGGTCTCTTCATCCATCTTGATACGATCAAGTAGTGCAAGTTTTGCAAATCTCTCTGATTCGCTCACTAAACAGAGTCCGAGTTCATATAGCTTAGCACCTAAACCATCAACATCTACTTCATCATCAATCGGAGCTTTAGATAGCAGATTCTCGGTAAAATTAGTATTTTATGAATTAAAGCCGAAGCTGATTAATTATGTATAGTCCTATACTCAACCACTTGGGTCCATCTGTTTGAACCACACGTTGTCTAATCCACTTCCACCACCAGGTTATAATCGACAGAGACCACATGTATTTGCTATTCAAGAACCCAATGGTGGAGTATTTTTATTCCAGACTGGATCTCAGGAACAAATCTTGGAATGGGTGGCAACGTGCAACTATTGGGCAGCAAGGGAGAGTAAGGAACCCTTACAAGGAGGCATAGGAAATATAGAATACGGCTGGGGGAGCTGCCTGGATGATGTCAGGGTGGATGAGGAGTCGGTTCAAAGTAGAGGTAAAATCACAGGCACGTTTATCCATCACCCTGATACTGTACATATTTCCACGTGGGTGCCACCTGCTCCTAGTATGATATCAAGCGCATTAGATGAAGTGACTCAATATGAAAACTTGCAAAAGTATCTGAATCAATTAAATGAAGAGATTAACGAACATAGAGAACTTAAGGACAAAATGCTCATTAAAGTAAGGGGAATAGAATTGCTTTTTTTTTGATGATGTGTTTAACTTATAACTTATAGTTTCCTCCAAAGACACAAAACCATACTAAAGTGCTGGCAAATTGGGAAGCCAAAGCACAATATATGCTGCATGAAATTATAAAGTACCAAAACTACTGTGATGTATTAGAAAAAAGTATTGCTGAAAAGCAACAAGAGCAACAGCATCTTGAAGAAGGACAAGAAGACCATTCAAATGATTGTGTATAGTGTGATATACGTGATACTTTTTTATTTATTGTTGTTAATGTTTAATTATACGCTTTTTATGTTATTTGTATAAAGACTCATGCTTAATGCATTTCATATCCTTTTTTCATTGAGTGTTAAGCAACAAAGCTTTGGCATCAATAAACTATAAGCTGTTTATTTGTCATATAAAGATATTTATTTCTGATGGGACATAATGATAAAATATACAGTGAATGGATAAGAGATATATATATATACAGAATTGTTGGCATATTTATATATATGAATACATTTATATATTGATGCGTCTAGGTGTAACGAATTTGGCATCATGGTTCTTGGCCTTTGTCATCTTTACTTCTACTTGATTACCTTTATCATCTACAGTGACTACAAACTTGTTACCGGACTTGATACCATAAGTAGTTGGTATAGGTGACATGCCACGATAATAAGGCGTTGATCGAGATTCTTTCAGCTGAGGAGGTCCACCTGCTTGACCACGTAATGCGATAATGTTGTTGTGAACACCAACGACGCCATGAAGACTTCGACGATTATTTGCGACCGGCGTGTTTCTTCCAACAACCGTATTCAGGAACCCTTCTTGGACGCCCTCACGTGGAGAAGCAGGGGGTGGCAATGAAGCGCGGTGGGCTGTCTTGTCAGATGTCACAAAAGTGCCACTCTCCAATAAGGCATGATCTCTTAAGAACTGAGACAGCTCGACCCATCCACCACCGACGCGAACCATGACCATGCGGCTTCTCAGGATACGACAGTATGCCAGCTTTGGGTTCACTTCTCCAAACCAATATTTTCCTACTTCTCCAGGGACCATCTTGATCTTGATCTTGTAAGGAGAGTCATTCACGATGTTGCCTACTGCAACATCCAAATCGTTCTTGGGATCAGCCACATACGCCTCTGGCGTTTTGTTTGTCGCACGCACGCGCTGTTGTTGAGCTGCCGTTTGCCTTGCTGCCACTCGTCTTGCCGTAGGTGAAACACTGCCGTTGTTATTGGATGCTCTCGTTGGCTTACGGTTTAATCCAGTCATGTATCGTGGCATCGTTTGTGTGGGCTTGGGTTGAGGCGCAAGTATAGGTGCCGAACTGCGTTTTGTCAACGTACCTGAAGCAGCAGCAGCCCTTCGTCCACGTGCAAGGAGCATACCTTCTGTTGCTTTAATAAAGTCAAAATTGCTGTCGGTTAAGGGGCCAATCAGTGATGTTAACTCTTGCTTTCTTGCAGCTGCTTCAGATTGCAATTGGGTCCATTTGTTCGTGAACTGCTTGATACAGCCTGCCACACGACGATCGCCCAGTAAATGTTCAGATACATCTCGTAGTTCATCCATAAGTTCAATAATCTTGGGTTCATAATAGCCGTATCGAGTATCCAAATCAATAAGGAGTGCTTGAAGATCTGTGCGCAAATAAGTTCCATCTTCATTCATTCTTGCATTACCAGGTGAGGCACGGGCGACAACTTCGGCTAGAGCCAGCAAGAGCACTTCGACTTCTTCCATGACGGTCAAAAACTCTTGCATTCTTTCAGCCTCATTGATGGCACGTCGTTTGCACTTGACAAGATCCAGCAAGCCACGCACAGCACTTGAAATCTCTTGACGCTGATCACTAAACATATCATCTTGACTGTTATTGAATGCAGCATTCAACATAAGGTCGAGTTGCTTAATCGCCGGCAGCAGTTGTGCTTCGATATCACGCTCGAGGATACCAAGTTCAGCCTTTGCAGAAGCAAGTCGATGCTCAGTTGGTATATCCGTTAGACTGCATTGAAGTACATTTTGTAGATCATCACTATCTTGTTCATTCTCCTTTGGCTTACATATACGGACGGCACTGACGCGTTCCTTGAGATCACCAATCTGCATGAGCACTGCCTTGACCTTGCGTGCTGCCTCTACACCACGTTTCGAGAAATCAACCGAACTCCTTGCCTTGGCATGCTGATCTTTCAAGTCTTGCCACGCTTTCAAAATTTTCGCCTCACGCTGATCAATCACATCCTTGACTTGATCTCGATCTAGGCTGATAGCGCACAGGTCAACAGGGTCACCGTTCACATGCTTCCATATTTTAGAGGGCATTGCCTGGAAGGCTTGAATCGTAGGTTCAAACTGGATGATCTTTTGCTGATAGTGTTCCAAGTCAAACAAGAGATCCTGCTCATCAGCTATACAGACATCAGTCGGTAATTGAGCAATCGCGCTAGAGCACTGATCGATCCAGCCTTGTAAATCTCGAGCACCTTTGGCATGGGTCTGCACCTTTTGTATGAAGACTGCTTGCTTCCTTTCGCTGGCAATCACGTCCTTGAGTTGATTCATGTTTTCATGAATACTGCGCAACGTCTCTTGAGCTGTCTGTCGTTCAGCTGAATTGGGTTCAAACTGCTTGATCTTTTCGAGTAGAGATTTGACTTGCGCTTGAAGTGGACCAGCATAGTCTGACTCTGCAGCTCGAACAGATTGAAGGATGTTGTTGGCCAGAGACTCCAAGGTATTAACAGACTCGGCTGATTCTCTGAATCGAGCCTGTCCGACCTCGGTCATACGGCGGTTGACCTGTTCCTTTTGAAGTTGAATAGTGTCCATCAGTTTGTTTGCGTCTTTCAAGAAGGATTGAAAGGCCAGTGAGGTATGTGCATCAGATCGGAGCGCAGCCATATTGGCTTTGGCTGCCTGGAGCTTGCTGACAAGTAGATTGTATCGGTCTTTGGCACAGGAGTAATTGGCAATCTGAAGTGGATCCTGTTTTTCACTGTCTTGTGCTTCGTCAATGCTTGTACCTATCTCATTCAGCATCTCGGTTGCTTGGTCTATCCTTTGTTGGACGGCATCTAGCTCAGCATTATTCTTGTCAGATTGGGTCAAACGGCTGATTTCATCATGAAGAATATCCAAGAAAGTGTCATTGACTATACTGAGTCGACGCTGGCGCTCGTACCATTGACCGACGGTCTCTGTGAACTGCTTGAGGTCCTGAATATCCTTGCCAAGCGCATTCCATTCATGCTCAATAGAATCCTGTATCTTGCGGGTTTCCTCTGCATCCTCTTGTTTGGACGGCCTCATGTGCTTGAAATGAGAACAGAGTTGATCGAATTGTGTCTGTCGGCTGTTGTAGTCATGCTCAATCGTCGCCAAGGTGTGCTGCAGCATATTTAAACGCTGTCTATCCTGTTCCTCAGACTGACCGGTCATAAACCCACATGTTTGCTTCAGAGCAGGCAAGGAAAGACGCGTCTCGCTCATGAACGTCTTTAAAGATCGAGCAGTTTCAAAGTACGTGTTACCTTCCTCCAATTTTTTCCTGAGCGCCTCCAACTCAAGCACATGCTCATCAAGGACCTGTTGCAGACGATCAAACGTCTCTTCCAGCTGCTGTGAGACCTCGGTTAGACTATCGCTATCGATGGACGTGATATTCAATTTCTGAGACGTTTCGAGTAGTGATGGAATACGTGTCAAGAGGTCGACCACTTCATTTTCTTTGCCGTTTTTGAGCTTGCTGATCATCGTCTGGCAGTCTCTCTCGAGTCGCTGTAGGTCGTCAATCGTGACCAAGTCTTGCTGAATACTGAGCTTGGCCTTCTTGACAGCTTGAATGCGTTCATTGGCCCAATCACAGAGACGTGTAGCATCATCCAGGTGCTCCTTGGCCTTACGGTGCAGTTGAAGGATATTGCGAAACGCATTCAGGCGCTGATCAAGTTCGTCGCTGAGCAAGAGAAGCTGATTCCTCTTTTCATTGATGACTTGATTTATCTTCTCGTTGGCTTCTGCGTTGGACTCCTTGTCGATGTCAAGAGCGTTAGAAGGGTAAGGAATTCGACTTGCTGTGGCTGTGACAAGCTGAATGGTGCGCTCATGCATACTTTGTACACGAGCCGTCATCTCTCGATCATTATCACCAGGATGAGCTTTACTCTCAGCGTCTTTGATATCCAAGGCGAGCATGGCAGTATCATCAGCTACGAGCTCGGCCTGGTACAAAAAATCCATCACATTCAATCGCTGCTCAACGACATGACGTGCAAAGGCCATACGCTTCATCAAATCTTCAAATTGTTGTTCACATGCTTTCTGTCTTGACTCTAAATGATCCGGTAGCTCGGTTGTGGAAGTATTGTCCAAATCTTGAAAACTGTCCACTGTCTTGTTAAATTGACCTTGATCAAACTCGGACACTTTGCGTTCCAGTGTAAGTAATTGCTGAATGACCGTTTCCTTTTGTTTTTCTCTTGCCATCAGTCGTTCTCGCTTCCTGGCGGGTGTGCTCTCTCTGTTTTCGTCTTCTTCTTCTTCAGAAGGTGTCCATCTTGCGTCATTAGATAAAAAGTCATCCAGTTCTTGCTCGGTTCCCTGTAACCAGGCGGTAGCGTTTTCAAGCTCTTCCTCCCAAATGACGCGCTGTGTGAGGACTTGAAGATCATAGCTCTTTCTTCGCAGCATGTGCATCAGTTTATCCAGGGACATGAGCGTTGTCAAGGTGATCTCAATTGTGGTCGTATCAGCCGGACTAAGGTCCTTGTTAGCCCCTGTCAGCGACTTGACGTGTGATCTCAGACGGGCCATATCCTCCTTATCAAAGGCCTCGATTTCCTTTTCAAGCAAGGAATGAGACGCATTCAACGCCTCGACCTGGTCACGCGAGATGTTGATGGTGCTGAGTGGATCTGGTAAGGTGGTACCTTTAATTTGTTCCACCCGAATTTCAATCCACTGACGAATTCGCTCCGCTTCGGTAAACCACACACGTACTTCGTCCACCCAGGTCTTGACCAGCTGATTCTTAGATTCAACGGACTGGTACTTTTGAAGATAAGCAGGATCGTATCTTTCTAAAGCTGTGCAGACAAGGTCGGTCGAATCTTCACAGGATGGGTTTGGCGGTTGCTGGTTTAATAAATCGCTGAAATTGAATTTTAATGTGTTTACCATATCCGTCGTCTTGTCCATCGCAAGCTCGAGCTCGTGAATGTCATGAAACGATGTGATAGACTTGACCATCTTGTTTTGAACAAAATCTAGTTCTTGACGGATGGAGTTGCACATTCTGGCAAAGGCAAAGCCTCGTCGAAAGTGAGCCAGAGTAGAATCTGACTTTTCAAACTCTTGGGCAAGTGAAGTGTAGTGTTGATGGAGCTGTGTTTTTCTTTGTACAACAAACGGATGCGTGTGCCACTGTGGGTCAAGTTGATCAAAGGCGAGCTGTAAGAGATGATAGTCGCCATCAGACAGTGTTTGGAATTCGGCTTGCAGTGATTTGAAGTTACGATCGTATGCCGAGTAGTCCTCTTCGGCTGCTTGGAGAGGATGTAGCAGACGGATAATTTCATTGTCTGAATGGATGATGCTACTTGTGCTCCTAGTGGTCGAAGTGTTATCATCTGTCAAGAAGAATTCGACAGACTCCGAAGTGATGGAGTTGGATATAGGAGAGTAGTTGTGGCAAGAACGTGTTGGTATGATGAGCATCAATCTATGCTGAAGGCTGTTCATTTTTTCCGTAACTGAGTTGATATGTTGATCAAGTGTGTCTAGTTCAGGTGAAGGTATAATATCATCATGTTGGGATGTATATTTGGTTGTCTTGGTTATACGTAATTGTTGGTATGAGTAAGTAGCAGTGGTTGTTGTTTTCTTTTGATTCAAAATAGATTTGAAACGTTCGATGTCTTGATGACGTTGATTTATTGATTCGTGAGATGGTATAGTGAATATGGGTAAGCATAACTCTATGTAATAAGAGAGTATGTTCAATTCACTTGTGTGATCGATGATGATGGAGGGTATATTGAAAGTGGTGTAGAGTAATTGAGTGGCAGTGTTAAAAAGAGAGACATCGTCCAATGAGATATACTCATGTAGGTTAGGTACTAAAGATGGATGATGATAATGAATACAGCAAAGTAAATAAAATCCACTTGACCATTCTTGTTGAATGAACTGAATGTAGTCTGATAATACACTATTTAACCATGATAGAAATACATTTTTAATGTCATTTACATGCTGCGGTGTGAATGATTGGGTCTATTTAAGAAGTATATATTAAAGGATTATATACAAAAAAGTATAAATTGAAATCTTACATATTCACTAAACGTGAGTTCTTTATTTGATAGATGCTTTTTAATGGTATAAGCTTGATATTGTTGTTGTATATATTCTAATAATCGAATAAGGTCATCCTCTGTGATATCTGTATTCATGGGTATAGGTAATTCATCTTTCAACTCTTTTAATACATCTGGTATCGTATCACTCTTTAATGATATTTGAAATAATTGTTGTAAAAATAAAATAAGCGTCTGTACACGTCTAAATTCTTCTAGTTGGCTTATTTCATAATGTAGATTAATCCAAGCTAATAAGCTACTCTCCTCCATGACAAAAGAAAAGAAAAAAAAAGAAAGGATATATTATATATAAAAAATATTGGGAAACGAAAAAAAAAGGAGAAAGTGTTTGAGGTCCCTTGTTTTGTTATTTTTTTTTCTTTGTCATTCAATGCAAAATTCGGACCTTTTTTATATTGTACAATATTTATTGAAATGGACCACGTTTTCTTTTAACTAATAGGCTGGAAGCTACTTTATTTTCTATTTACACGCGAGTTCGACTCTCTCTAGGAACAATCTATGTAAACAATTAGATGCATTTCATATAGTTTGTGTTATTATTTACTCTTGAAATCATTGGATGAGACAAAACACTTCCAATAATTGGCAAACGTTTCAAGAATCCAAAGACAACAGGGAAGAAATCACTAGGACAAATAAGTCATTACGCCAATCTTTTTTTTTTTTTCATATGATCTTTACCCGAATAGATTAAGAAATCCAAATATCTCTACAATAAAGCCAAAGAATGGATACTTGCTCAATACAAGAAATATGCCTCCCAGAAAACAAATCGTTCCTTTTAATTTCTCTTTTCGACCGAAAAATGTAAACGTGTTCTTTAATCCGATAATAGCCGTGATACCGCTCAAGAACAAGACCTAGTGAAATGTTGGTATGTTTAGATTTGTGTATTCAATCATCTTACATTGCCAATAGCCATCAGTCCTGCATCAAATAACAACATGACTCCCATCATCATAAAAAATACGCCAAATGCAGTTAATCCAACACCAATCTCTAATTCACACTTGAGTACCAACATCTCATTCCATTCTCATAAAACTTACTTTGACTATCACTTAACCACATTTTATTATTATTATTATCTCGTAAAAAAAGAAAAAGAAAATAGGTTTAGGAAAGAGACTGAGTTTATGCCTTAAAATTCCTCCTTTCTGTTCTCTAGTTATTATTTTTTTTTGAAAAGTCAACAATAACTCAAGGAGAGTTTATGATGAGTTTTATTTCTCTCTCTCTCTCTCTCTCTCTCTCTCTCTTCCTTTTTTATCTTTCTTTCTTTAAGTATTGTCTGTATATATACTTTTGTATGTGTATGAGGTCATCCCACAAAAGGATACTGAGTTTCAATAGCAATAGCAATAAAAAGCTTCAAGTAAAAAAGCAAAGAAAAAAAAGCAGATTTCTTTTCTTGTTCAAATGTCATTGCAATGCCCGATAGTTCTTTGACTGCCTATTCCTATGTTACTATTGCTATTTTCTTACTGGTAGTTCTATTGGTAATCAAGCCAGTTACTATTAGAATTAAAAAGATAAAACTCTATTTTAACCTGTCCACTGCGCCTCCACTGGGTGTTCTTATCTTGTTGATTTGCCGAGCTATCAATTTTGACGTTGTCGGAAAAGGATTTTTGGGTACACTCGGTATACAGCCATGGTCGATCCTCATTCTATTTTACTCGCTTGTAAGACACGAATTAAAAAAAAAAAAGGGAGGAAATTCATCAGTTTATTCGTAGGCGTACATTTGTATTTCGCTAGACATGACAGGTGTGTTTCAATTTTGTGCATTTTGGGTATCTCGGAAAGCTGGTAACCGAGGATTACTTGCCTTTACTCTCTTTTTTATCTTGACCAGTCTCATGAGTGGGCTGACAAGCAATGATGTAGTCATCCTGACAGGTACTGTGTTCTTATCTTATTTTACCAAAGTCACTGGTATACAACCTACTGCCTTTCTGGTAAGCGAATTCACTACAGCTAATATAGCCTCTATGGCACTCTATATTGGCAATCCGACAAATGTGATTGTATCGGAAGCATACAACATCAGTTTCATCACTTATTCTGCTTGGATGCTTCTACCCACGATCGTCACGTTACTGATGGCCTACTTAGTCTTACGCATCGTATTTCACTCAGAGAAATATCTACCCAGGCACATTCAGCCGCCTGATGCTGATCCCAAGAGTGTACTAATTGATGGACAAGGCGCTATCTTTGGACTCGTTCTTTTAGGATGCTGTCTTGTCACGCTAGTGGCCACATCATTCGCAAGTGTACCCGTCTGGATGGTGACACTACCTTTTGCTATTGTTATGCTGATAAGGGATATAAAGCATGATCTCGGTATCTCCATTCGTGGATTACTGCGTGTCAAGCAGCGTCAGGTCCGATCGGATGTTTCGGCTGAACCTATTGAGTTAGATACAATCTCTTCCGGCACCCTTGATCCAAAAGACGAGACAGAGTCTAGATTCAAACAACAGAAAAAACTAAAACGATTCCTAAACTGGTTTAGTCGACGGTTTCCTACCATTAGGGCAGTATCACTCCGTATGCCTTGGTCTATCTTGCCGTTCAGTTTGGGAATGTTTATGTTGATCGAGGCGTTGGCTGAACGTGGCTGGGTTGGTATCTTTGCTACGGCAATGGCTGTGTTTGCAAAGAATTATGCTACGGCGGTTTTGGGCATGACATTTGTTTCGATATTGGCATGTCAACTATTAAATAACTTGGTGAGGACAAGGAAAGAAGGGGAAAAAAATGTTGTTTTACTCATAAAGTCTATGTAGCCAATGACCATTTTGTTTACTCAGATCATACAGCATCCCAATTTCACCATACATGTATCCTCCGATGCAGTCATGCAAGGGTTTCTGTTGGGGCTCATTGTTGGGAGCAACTTGGGCGCTTGCTTAACTCTTGTGGGCAGTTTAGCTGGCATCATGTAAGCTGATCAGTTATAAAAAAAAAAACTTGATAATTGATTGTCATCTTTTTAGGTTCGATCACATCTTAAAAACAAAAGGCATATATCTATTAGGTTACTTTCAATTCTTAAAATGGAACTTGATTATATTACCTCTGTTAGCAGCAAGTGCGTCAGCCATTGTCATTGGGGAAATTTGGTTTATCTACGATCGATAAAGAATATACATAAAAAGGGGATGAGGATTGTTATCTATTCGTTAGTCTGTCTTTGATAGAAAATAAACAAATTCTAGATTCTATAAAAAGTGATACTCGGCTACTTATTTTGGTGATACATAAATAATGGGACCAAACTCTTTTTCTTGTCTTTCTTTCTCTTTTTTTATTTATTCTTGTCATGGATCCATTAACTACTTTATGTAAAGTATGCGTTTATCCAACAACAAAACTCACACTAACAGGGCAATAGTATCAAACAGTCACGTATCTAATCAATACTCTTTTCGAATAAACAATCTCTCCTGGAGGTTTTGGTCTGTTAATCAACAAAAAAAGACATATGCTTCTAGTACAGTCAGTACAACCAGTACTTCTAGTAGTAAGTTTTATATGGATGATGATGATGATGAAGATGATGAAGATGAAGAAGTGATGAATATACCCGAGGAGCCACTGTTTAAACCACAACAACAAGAAAAAGGAAAAACTATCTCACTTTTATCAATTATGCTTCAGCAAGAGAAAGAGTATAAGGCTATTGTATTGCATCGATGTAAACGATATCATCATCACTTGAACGAATTATTTTCTGCTAGTCATCAACAGGAAAGAAGTTGAGGCTGTTGTTATGCTATTCCTTGTACCACTTATTTAATGATAATTGTATACCCAATAAAAGAAGTTTCTAACGTGTCTTTAGCGTGCTTCATATGAAAATTACACAGCTTATTGATCAATGGATTCGAAAAGGGATAGTCAATCATTGATCTAAAAGAGTAAGGCTTAGAGAAACAGTGTATGAGAACAGAGATACGGTTGACAGTATCGTCATTTTATAGTTAGCTAGAGAGCAATATGCATAAACAATATAACCCATTGGGGAAATCTTTACACTGACAATGCCAGAAATCATTGAAATGCCATGGCGTGACTAATTTTGAACTCCAAGAGAGCTTTCTGACATGGTTAAAAAAAAGACAAAAGAGGGATTTTAAAGTGGCCTGAGAGCCTTCTTTTTTTAATGTATTCAAAACTGCTGAGTTGACACCCAAGGAAAGGGGATTTTCTAATTCCTCCTTTTGGGCGATGTTTATCAGGATTGGCATCTACATCTCTATAAATAAACATATTCTTTAGCTATCTTTGTTGATCATTGATTGTAGACTGCAGCTTAGCTTTCCAATTACAGAATATACATTGTGTTACACTTGTGAGATAATGAAACTAGAGTGTCTATTAAAGGTATGAACATAACTTTATCTATATATAATACGTATTTCTCTCTTTCAGATCAAGAAGAAAATGAATGATTTGTTTGAAAAGTAGAATTGATTTGTATAAATTACATCAAATGCAATCGTATGCTTATACGAATTGTTTCATCTGGTCAAATATGACGCTTATCACTATGTCAACGTATACATATATATGCAAAAACGGCGCGTTTATGCAGACTTGTTACCATTTTCAAACATCGTATTTGCATTATCAAGTATCACACAGATAAGGTAACTATGAAGTAAAGAAGCTTTATGCAAAAGTTTATATCCATGTCTTTACGGCATAATTAATCAGAGTTTACGAAACAAGAGTCAGTGTTACACTGTAACAGGTATTAAAAGCCTCTTGGCGTCGGCAAGGTTTGTCTTATCAATAAAGAAGCGATAAACAGCCAAGCGTCGTATAGCAGGTGTATCATTTTGAATGAATGAACTCTCAAAGCTATGAGTTTTTCATTTCAAACTGTCAAAATTACATTTATACTTTGCAGAAAATAAACATTACATAAGCATTTTACAAGGTTGAGTATACTAAACTTTAGATAAATTGGAAAACACCTCTGTTAAGTTATTAATGACTGTTATCCATAGCTTGGTTAGCTCTGTGAGACAAACAAACATAGAAAGTTACCTTATCCAATAAAAAAAGATCTTTCACTAAAAGAACAAGATATTTTGTTGGTTCCAGTTCAACAAGCTACTGTTTGGATCCAAAGATAAGATAGTAAAATGAGAGTCAGATTGACATAGATATTGGTAGAAATCGTGTATTCATTGATGAATCTAACTTTAATATCAACGTGAAATCACGTTGCAAAAGAAAGAGCAGTGGGCTGTCAAAAGCGCCTTCGCACTTGATTATTGGAGATGTTTCATCCATTGGGTGTAATAAAATTTAGCAAACGTGTTCTAAAAGTAAAAAAAGAAGGGACCAGGAACATACACCGGTGTGAGAAGGTTTAAGCAGATACCTGCATTCATTATTCAAAAAAAAAAAAAAGCATCAACTTGAGAGAGTGGGACAAATGCTCTTCAAAAGACATAAAAATATCACAAACTATTTCCCATAGTGCAATTCAAACGTGTAGAATTCATCAAAGATACCTCTACAGCATGAAGTGCGATTTTGGAAATTGTTGTGATATTTGAGAATAGCACAAAACTCATAATAGCTTATGTTTAGTCCACGTACAAAGGGGTTTATTGATGTTGTAAGATATATACTTATCATTTCTAAGAGCAGAGTCCCTTTTTATGTAAAATATACAAAAAGTGCTAGTATATATAGATTTTCTTTTTACTTGGTATATAAAAATACTTTTTTTTTAACTCCCAATACCAAAATAGTCATGATTAATAGGATTAACCACGAAAAGCAATATTGAAAAGCTTCGCAGGAGCACCTTCAACCAGTTGTCAAGATACCTCCCTCATGGTCGTCTCTTAAGCAATGCAATAAGCGATCCTAACTACCTATGTCTCTATCTGAAACGTTCTGTTAAAGGAGAGCCATTCAAACATGCACATCTACATACATCATTGAAGTCATTTAAGATTCAGATAAACTATTGCTACACTGAACATTCTTCCAGCCATTTGATTTAATGTACCTTGTGGAAATAAATTGCAAATCTAAAGAATATAATAATTAGGTATAATGTAATGGAGGAAAAAATATGATACACAGTTTCAAAAGGCCATACATTTTACATTATAAAAAACAAACTGTAGGTCTAAAGCTCGATTCCAGAGTGTCTAGGAAAACACTACATCTGCCTCGTTTTAGATTAAATAACAGTGTTACATCGAGAAAACTAAAGGCTACACAGAAGGCTACCTGTTGTTAATAGACCTGTGCTGTCTAATGAAGCTCGATACTGTATAGTATTTCTAAGAATTAATAACGCTGCTGATAAACTCAGATGTTGCATTAATCACTGATTGATTTCGCTTGCTGACAAATTAAATGCTGTATGTGTAGAAGCTTTATGGTACTTTACAACCAAGAGTCAAAGATCACCCTTCGTTGATCCGCCTTTTGTGAGTTATGATGCATGAAGCCTCTCAGATTACCATAGAAACTGCATAGGTTATTAAATATATGAAGCATTTTCAATCATCAATCGCTTCGATGCTGTCTGTTTAATTAAGTTAGTCATCATCAGTTTGAGTAAATATAACCAAATGGAAACCATTGATGGTGTAACTTGCAGTGAACAATGCAACACAAATACACAATGGTCCTAATTATTACTCTTTAAGGGGATCTCTATTTGTTTACAAGGCATTTGCCTTATAGAGAACAACCTCTCATCTCAAGGTCCACATCCACGCTTGATATAATATGCAAATTATGTTTCAAAATGCTCAAGATTCATGAGTGTCCCTTTGATGAACAATAGACACACCATCTTGTAGAACCTTTGCTTTAAATTTTTTATACTCTACTTCTGCCAATAATGTTTGGCCAGTCTTCCACGTTACTATTGGCAACACACCGACTTATAAGTGTGACAACTATTTCCATAATGTAAATAGTTAAATTTTCCTTTTTTTGCACGTTTACACAATTTCAATTAGCGAAAACATTTTTCCTTGAACACAGGTCAAAGGTGTCACAATTAAGCACCGTTTTTCGGATCACTTTCTGAATTAATTACAACAAAAAAGAAACAGAGAACAAAGACAGATGTTCCAATCAACAAGCACAATTACATCCACCTGGAAATTGTGCTTTATCTTTTTGGCATTTGAATCAATTTTGATGAATGGGAAACTGTCATGGACGTGTGTGAATATAAATACTGAGGGCGGGTAACTTAGTATATCTTTATTTCTTTCTTTCAAAGATGCATATCTCCTTCACTTCCCTCTTTGCTATTGCTAGCCTTACCAGCCTTGCCTTGGCCAGCAATGGTAAGGATGGTCACCAACACGGCCACAAGGGTCACGGTAATAAGGCTCCCAAGGGTAAAGTCTTTGACCACTTTCTCCAAATTTGGTTTGAAAATCAGGTAAATATCAAGTTTATTAGCTTGCTAGGGTCATACTTATATCTCTCTCTTTCTATATAGGATTTCGAAGATGTTGCCAAGGTCCCTGGCTTTACTGATCTTGCCAAGCAAGGTATCCTCTTAGACAACTTCAATGCCATCACTCACCCTTCTGAACCAAACTATGTCTGTGCTGGTGGTGGAGATAACTTTGGTATTGATAATGATGACTACTACAACATCCCTGCCAATGTCACTACTATTTACGATCTCCTTGAGAACAAGGGCTTAACTTGGAAGGTCTATCAAGAAAACATCCCCTCTGTTGGCTACACAGGATATAAGTCTGGTACCTATGTCCGCAAGCACAACCCTGCTGTCATCTTTGACTCTGTCGGATTGAACAAGACTCGTCTACAAAATATTGTTGGTGGAGACCAATTTGTCAAAGATATTGCCTCTGGTGATCTCCCCAACTGGATGTTTTATACCCCCGATATGAACGACGATGCCCATGATACTAATGCTTCATTTGCTGGCGAATGGCTCTCCAAGTTCTACAAATCCACTTTAAACAATAAGGAATTCCTCAAGAAGACATTGATCTTGATTACCTTTGACGAGAACAAGTCCACAAAGACCAAACGTAACAGAGTCTGGTCTCTCTTGATGGGTGATATTCCCAAAAAGTTGAGAGGTACTGTCGACAGCACTTTCTATTCTCACTTCTCTACCTTGAATACTGTTGAACTCAACTGGGAACTTGGTAGCTTGGGCCGTCAAGATACTAACAAGACCATGAACAACGTCTACTCTTTTGCTGCCAAGAAGCTTCATTACAAGAATAAGGATGTGCCCGAAAGTGAAATTCCTTCTGGTATTCCTGCCATTTCTGGTTTACTCACCGGTCGTTCTTGGAATCAAACACATCTCAACTCTACCGAACTCCCTCCTCAACCTAGATAAATTATAAATCCATATTCATAACTTTCATTGTTAGTACTGTAATCTATATTTATGTATTTTTATTTTCAATAAACGTATCAATATCATAATACTCTCATATTTTCTTACAAACTTGCCCTCTCTCTTAACCTTATTTTCTATTCTGTCTATAAGAATTACACAGATAACCAAAACCAAAAAAGGGGGAAAGTCAAAGTTGAGTGCCCGAGCAAAGAATAGGAGAAGGTACGAATGGTACTTATTTAGCTACCAAACAACATTCTGGGAATAACAACCAGCTTTTTATTATTGATCGTTACATCATTGAAGTACTTTTTATTATTCAAAAAAAAAAAAAAAGTTAAATAAGCTTACAGGATAAAATAAAGGGCGGGGACAGGCGCCACTTTGTTTAAGCGTATAGTTTGTGTTCACACAAGGAGTATTCTAATAACTAAAAGCCCTTTTCTTCGTTGCCTAATACCTGATCCAATCAACTTGTTCTATTTATCCTCGTTTCTTTGGATCTACTTGTCCTTTTTCTCCTCCCTTGGCGCAAACAATTGAACAAAAAGAAAAAGCCCAATCCGTTCATTCGTTTCCCCATACGCTGACCCTTGCATCGTTATAGTATTCTAGGCATCTGCTTATGCAGTCGATTCCTGTTACAAAATGGGATAAATGACTAAAAGCACACAGCGGGTAGATCCTGTTGAATGTAACACAAGGAAATCTCTTTATCACTGTCATATTCACTATGAGCATGGCAACCATCATACCATTCATTGTTTCAGATATAGATTTTCTTTTTCAAATAAAGAATTAAATAATCATTGTATTTCTTTGTCATGTGTAAAGTACCACACTCACATCCGCTCCCCCTTATATTGACACCAGGACATTCTAGGTAGTCGATCTCAAGTAGAAAAAGAAGGGGAAGGGGTAAGAACGAAAGAAAGCGAGAAAGAGACCGAGATCAAGAAAAATCTATATAAAGAAACAAAATTTCTTTTCTTCTCTCCTTTTTCTTCATTATCATCAGTACCAATGCATTTACAATACCATTCAATCATTCTTGTATTCTCTATTCTCCTACAAGCTGTCTTTGTTGATGCTGCTAGAAAGTGTACTGATGTCATGACAGATTTTACCAAGGGACATGAAGGTTGGACAGAGCTCAGTGGTTCCAAAGAGGGTTGGTCGTTCACAAGTCAAGGTCTTAAGATGGATCTGATTCCACCTGAGGACCCTCAGCCCAGCAAGGATAAGTCTGAAGGCGGTAAGTGTTCTTTAAAAAAATTTAGCATTATATATTTATCATAAATAGGATTACCCTATAACAAGAATACATCGCCTTCTTCTCCCAGCTTTCAATATAAGGATTTGGTCCAATATGGCCGTATTACTTTTGAATTGAAGACTGCTAAGGCTGCTGGTGCCATCACGGCTGCTATCTTGATGGCTCCCGGAAAGGATGAAATTGATTTTGAAATGCTAGGAGGTGAACCTGACAAAGTCCAGTAAGTGATTAGTATATGTATTCTCTAAAAGATATTCACTCTTGTTTTAAGGACCAACTACTTTTATGGCAAGAATATTGTCTATGGCGTGAACGGTGGCAACCATGACGTTGAAGATACAACCACAGGCTTTCACAAGTACACTATTGATTGGTAAGATATTGTAGAAAATATCTACAACATGTACATATATAAACCCTATTCTGCTTTGATTAGGAATGCTGAAAGAATCATATACTTGTTTGACGGCAAAGTGATTCGTACTGTAGAGCGAAAGAGCACGTGTAAGAGAGCCGTTTGTGAATACCCGACTGAAGCATCGTAAGTTCGTTTGTTTGATAATGAATTGATGTTTATCTTTTTTTTTTTAGCCATGTTCAAGTGGGTATCTGGGATGCTAGTAAACCTGCTAGTACAGCTGAATGGGCCAAGGGCCCTATTGATGTAAGTTGTATATATACACATGTATACTTATTCATGATTGATCTGACTGATATCTTTATAGTGGAAGAAGTATAAGAGCAAACCCATTTCTGCTATTATTAAATCAGTCAAGATCGAGTGTAACTCTAAATAGAATAGAAGGAGTTTTTTTTTTTATGTATTTGACCAATAAATATAATAAATCATTGAATAATCAAACAGTTTCTGGAGTGTAAGAAGAAAGGAAGGTGACAGTAGGCTAATTCATGCCACGTTTTATTTTCAGATAATCTAAAGTACCATGAAATAAGCTCTCAGCGATGGACGGGATGTTGACCATCTCGCCAATAACACTTCTTGCCATAGGGTTAGATCAAATTCCAAAGATAGTGTCAACTTGCTTATTCGTATCGTTTAGCAGGCCTCTCTCCTGCTGATGACTCTTCCAGCTTTTTTATTCTCGTCTTGAATGGGGAAAAAAAATGGATTAAGCAACTGTTAATGAGTATGCGACACATTATGAGAACTCTTGTTGAAGTATTGCTTCTACCATACTATCTTCTCTTAGTGCTATACAGTAAAATAATCGTAATATACTAAAGGAAAGAAAGTGCGTACAAGGATGTGTTTGAGATGGAACTCTCGCTCACAGTGTATTCAGCTATAACAACCTTCTGAATGTGTTGAGAAGCCACTCTTTTAATTTTTAGACTGTTAATCTATGGGCTTTGTTGGTCCAATAATCGTCAGCAGAATCAGACTTTTTCCAAAGCGTGAAATTGGTTTTAAGATTCTCATCTTTCACATATTTCTTAAGATTCATAGGTACCGATTGTCGGCAAATTGTCAATCTATAAATGTAAAATGATTTGCAGATGCTGTAAAACTTAGATCTTCTTTACTTTCAAGACACCATCGCACATCTTTAGCATAATAACTATCTTTTCTGACAGTACTACGTGGTAATTTACTCTTTTTGCCTTTAGAGTGAGTCATAGCAGTAACACTACATGCATCAGGAAGTACACCAAAAGTTAGACTCACTCTACGGGCATCGCCTCTACTCACTACTTGTGCATTAAGCTAAACATGACTGTATAAAGTCACCACCTTGGTTTGTGTTTCTTCTCAGTTTGATCAACAAAGAACCAAGATCAATCACATGTAATTATAATAAAATCATGTTTTACATAAATAATGTTCCACTGGACATCTTTGTATTTAGTGCCTAGAAGAAGCGCCCGTAGAATTAGCCTATTCTCTGGCGTATGTAGTATTGGCCTAACGGAAAAGTTATGAACAATGGAAAAAAGGAACAGCAGTAGCGGAAATTAAACTATTTTTCCTTCTGTAGTTCACTAGCCACATCTTTTTTGGAAGAGGATTTATTTTTCTCACAATTACAAACCTGTTTACTGCAAAATGTTGCAATCTTTTACAAAGGCTCTTTATTTAGGAGCTGTTAAAATCTATACAATATTGTTTTTGTGAAAAACAAATCCTTAAATACAAATCATTGTATTTTCTTTTTTTTTAATAAAGTCTTTTTTCATATATAAAAATGTACGTGTACAGCACTGCTGTATGCTATTATTATTATTATTATTATTATTACTATGGCAATAAATGATGTTGATATGAATGAATTTGAATATGTTGCTGCTGTTCATCTGTATTTAAATTGATAATGTCTTGGTGTAAATATTCTTGATGTAAGGTCGGCAAATGAACATCATGAATATGAGGTGATTGTGCATCTGAAGAAGAAGGAGGGGAAGAGGAATCCAACAAACCCTCTTTATATGATTTCATGGCTTCTTCATGTTCTTCCATCTCCTTTTTGAACGTATCATAATAATACTAGGATGGATATTTAGTCTCAGCACTTAATATATCAAAGGGTACCTTTTTTTCTTCTTTAGTTAAAGCTTTCCATTTTAGAGCCAGTAGTCTTGTTATATCACCAATACTTTCTTCAGGATTTTCAATTTTCATTTTATCACGTTCCATACGACAAAATAAGAAAAAGACATTACCAGGGCCTTTAGGAGCATTTGGATCTTTCTTCTTCTTTGGCTTCATGAGTTTATCAGAACGATGCTATCGTCATGGTAAGAACAACTGTGTTTCTATTGTTACTAGTTACCTTTTCATGTACATATTCATGATGACCATTATGCATTGTTTCTGAGCCAGAATCAGAATAGTCATTGTTTAGTCTATCTACTTTTTCTAATAGTAAACTATACAACATTATAAACATGCTTATCATCATCAAACATCACTCTTTACCTCTTTTCAAGTCTTAGCCTCTTTATTTGTCTATTAGCCTTGGATAGTTTGTATTCAAGTAACTCATTTTCCTATAATAATGAGTAAATAATCAATAGACATAAAATGAGAAAGTATACTTCTTCTATAGCTCTACAACGTTTCTTGAGTTCATCATATTTGAGTTTATTTTTAAGGTCTAAAGAAGTAGAACTCATGTTTAAAAAGAAAAAAGTTTTGAAAAAGAAGAGAAAAAAATTTTTCAAAAAGAGATAGGGTTATGTGTATATAATGTGAGTGTGTGAGTGTGTGTGTGCGAAGAGGGAAGTCTGTTAATAATAATTATGTATTTCATCTTCAGTCATTGAATCATTCATGTACTGTATTTTCCAAATAATTGAAATTTTAGAACACTTAAAATGAGAAAAAAATTTAGCGATCAGTTGAGAAAATGGTATGACTATTTCGGAAATTCTAAAAGATTTTCTTCAAAGAAATACAGCAATCAAAAAATGAAACAGAGTGCCTTATCTATCCTCTACAGCCTGCTAACGTAGCTTGGGAGCAGGCTTCTACAGTTTGAGGTCCAATGCGTTACTGCTATCTGAGGTTATCTCTTAACATTATATTTTACTTTATACCAAAGCTGTTTAACAGGATCAAGATACTATACTGTATTTTTATTAACAAGTAAAGATTTAGTCGGCCCAAATGGGCCGATATAAACTACATTTTTTTTATTGGACAGACCTTCTCAGTTTACACGACGCGTGTGGTTACTACAAAGCTTAAGACCTGTATTTTTATTTCGTTGAGTTTTTAAATTATTTTTTATAGTATTAAACAGATCTAAATCTCTCAAACAACATCAGTAAAATTTAAAGTTCAAACATGCCTCCTGTCAACAAAAAACTTG